GCTTAAGAAATACAGAAAGCACTGACCTTTGCAACTTGGGTTGGAAATCATGTTGTGCATTAGCTCTTGCTCTGTCTTTTGTTGAACTCCTTGTGTTGTACTGCTTGCTCCATACCCCTCTTTTGAGTGTTATTTTTCTCCCATGAGTGTACTTGTACAACCTGGAGATGTAGCAATGTGGGGCAAAAGTTTATGCTTACGGGTACTCCTTTTCCATTTTTGTTACGCTCTGATTAAACCCATCAAAATTAGATCAGGAGGTCATTTCAGCATGCCATATCCATTCTCATAGGCTTTGGTTTCATGATTTTCCATTGGTGACTGTTTTCAGCCCAATCCTTATTAATACTAGTTTCTCAGTGTATAGGATGCCTGTTGTCAGAGTAATTTTTCAGAAACAGTATTACTACCAGAGCTTTAAAACTCCTTGCTTTTTTAATGGGCCCACCATATGGCTGTATATTTGGGAACATTTTTTACAGCCTCTGTGTGGCAGGGAATGGGCCAAACTCAATTTTCGTTGAATATGGTGTAAATTTACAATGTTATGTAAGTTATATCCAATAACAACATGTGTGGCATTGGGTAACTTGTTTACGTGTTTTGAGAACTGTTTAAAAAACATTGTATGTTTAGTATAGTAAGTTTCAACTGCTCCTTTGGAGCCATAAATAGTTCTTTTAATCGCTTACTTTTTAAAATCCTACTGTCATCAGCTGAATTGGCCTATTTCAGGAATTCCCAAGTACATGGCTTTCCTTGTCTAGCAGGAATTAATGTTCATTTGACCTCCTTAAAACTATTAAAGGTTATACTTACATGAACATTAATTCTTTCTTTTGGGGATTTTTGGGATCACATTACTTTTTATAAGCTTTTCTTCATTTAGTGTATGAAAGCACTAAGAAGTAATTTGCGTAACACCCTAAGTTAAGTGTCTGTTTAAATTAACACTGTACTATACTGAAAAATCTTTCCCCTAAGACAAACTATAAAAACTTTTCTCTTAATTTTGCCATTCCAGCAAGATGGGTTTAAATAGATATAATTTTCAGACATTATCTTACCTACCTTCATTTGGTTTGATAGCATTTTAAAAAGCTGAATACATCCTGCATGGATGGAATTAAATTTAACTCCATTAGGTTAACACTCATTTCTCATTTCAGTTACCCAAGGACAAAATCAAGTATGTCAGGAAATTGGGGAAGTATTTCTCTGTGCCAGTTTGATCCCACCTATATACTGTGAACACAGTAGTATAATATGAAGTACACATAGTAGTTCAACACCAAGCTTGTATCTATTCAGATTGATCTGTGGCTTCTCTGCATTTTGTTCCAAGCATTTTGTTCTTCATTTCATGCTTAACCTTGTTTCTATTATGAAAGTTTATTTTAACTCTTTGAATGTAGAGATGAGAGTGAAAGTACTGTCAGGTTTTCCTGTAGCTGCTTTATAATTTATCACTGTAATGCAGTGAGCTGTGGTCTACCACATTTTTCTGTCAGGGTTCAGTAAAATGTATGCAGAATCACAGAATTATAGAGGTTTTTTAGCTTGCTTTATTTTAGTTTTAATATAATAAATAATTCTACTATCAGATCCCTTCTTTCCTCCTTTGCCAGGCATTTCAGGTAGTAGTCAGCAGTCATCTTTCATGTACCAGTTTTATGTTTGGACGGGTACTTGTCCATGACTTGCAGAGGCAGGGACATAGGCCTTCTGGTTTGTAAGTCTAGCTGAAGTTCCCTGTGAACTTCCTGGGTTACATTTATTGTACTTAGTGATGTCCTGAATCATCCAGTCCCTAACTGAGATACTTACTTTTTTTCAAATTCATCCTTTTTTTGCTGTTGTTGTTGATTCAAAGTATTTTGAACTAAAACAGCATAAACATTTGCATGTTTTGCAAGGAGTGATCACTGATGAATAGCAAGTGTGTAAAACTGGACTACAAGCACATAGCTGAACATTATTACCAATTAACCCAAACTGCATATCAGTGCATGTTTATACCCAGGCTGTGCTACCCAGAAACAGGAAATAATTTCCAAAGATGAAAGTGTTTGTTAGTTAGTTTGTTATTGTACTCTGGTTCTCATTTAATATGCATAAACATTATCCCACAGCTTCCGCATACATACACGTGGAAAACATATAGGAAGTGTCACTTGTGAAATGTGATTGATAGGAGTTAGTAAAGTTTTATAGTAAATATTAAAAAAAGTAATAATTACTCACTGGTAGAACGTATCTAGGGAATAGTGTTTGGGGGGGTTCCCCCATATTATTGATTGCTGACTGTTTCTTTAGCTTATATGATATATATACATTCTGGAAGAAGAAATAATATGTAAGGCAAATAAAATAGTTCTAGGAAGACTATATTGTTTTGCTTGACAATAAACATTTTAAAGAAAAACAGGTATGAACTAGGACCTTTTGCACACTGAAGTCAATTTTTGTTCCTCCTCGTCAAACTGACCTTTCTGCTTTCTTTATTGATTCTGTGCAGACTGTTTGAAAATGCAGACAATAAAACCAAGCTCACAGCATGTCTTTGCCAGTTGTCATGGCTATATGCTGACCTATGGAAATCATTGCAATTATCTTAAAAGACTAATTATAAAAAGTTAGAATACTGTAGGCAAATTCATACTGTAACTTATTGTTAAATTTGTCCATTTCCTGAATATTTCTTTGGTTTCTATTGTATTTAACTTAGGCAGCCTTAAACCTGTGAGGCTGAAATCTTTCACATGACTCATTTACTTTAAAATTAATCTCTTGGAAATTGGATGGGTTGTCTTTTGGCATAAGAGTAGGAAAAAGAAATGTCAGTACTCAGGACAAAAGGAGTAATGTAAAATGAAGCATAGCAGCAATAAATAGAGAGCTTACAAAAGTAGGAAGAAGGACTGAGCAGCAAAGAAAGTTGTGTTCTTTTTGGTCAGGAAGTGAGCGTTGGAGAGAGAACTGCAAGGTAGAACTATATTAGACCTTGACAAGGAAATTAAAACAAATAGAGAAGACTCTTTTGCCTTATAAATAAAAGAGGGAAAAGGGAAGAGGGGAGACTACTGTGAGAAGTGTGCACTCTCTCATTCTGCCTTTTACTTCCCTTTTTCTTTCTTTTTTAATAGTCATCTGCATTATCTATTTCTTTACCAGTGAAACACTGTCATTGCAACTGCAGTGCCTACTGTGTGCATTGCTCACCTTCCACCTGGGAGACCTTGCTGTCTGTAATTCCTATTGTACACAGAGTGAACCAGCCACAAAAGGCAGCTTTATTCAGCCCACACCCTTCTGGGCAGGCAGGGCTTGCCCAGGACAGGGGGCACAGCAAAGAGTTGTGTAGCCACTCCAGCAGTGAGGGGCCCAGTACTTATCCTCCCAAGCAGCAGATGGGTTCTCCCTGGTACTATGTATCTACCTCTTAGCATAAAAATGTCTGGTACATGCCGTGGGTAACCACTGACTTTTTCCATTTTGTATGAGTCCTTCATCTGAGCAAGAAAGCTCAAATTCTTGTGGGCAAGGCAACATCTTCTGCCATAAGAATAGTGTAATTGGAGGTATGCGTAGGGCCAAAAGGCAGGCAAGACGAAAGTAGCCCGGTCCCTAGTGTTAGCTAGTGACCCAAGTCAAAAGAAGGGCAGCAAAGGTTCCTAAACAAGGTAGTGTGCTGCTCAAGTCACAAACAGCTGGTCTTTACAACGGCTGGAAATCAAAGTGTTCAGCCTTTGTGGGTAGATTAATGAAAACAGTATTTTTGTTCTTGCAGTGATAGGCACCTCAGTACGGTATAGATAAACTTTTAAGGGAAAAAGAAACATTTAAATAAAATCTTGATTGCAGTAACTATAAGGCAACTTACTTCTCTTTTAGGAACCATACTTGCTGAGTATATGTTAGTTGAGGATCTCCTCAGGTGGATAGACAAGAATGAAAGGAAAAACAGTAATAAAAAGTCACATTTCAGTGTCTGTTGATTGTGTCATGCAGCTGCAACGGCATCATATTCACATCCTTGTTTGTCTTAGTGAATAATAAATAATGATCAAATGACATGGAGATGATAATGAAGAAATATCAGCTGATGTAGTTCTTCCTTAATCTTAGAACACTCTTCCATTTCTAGTATTTTGAATTTGTACTCTTCCTTTCTATATCCAGTTCCTTTTGAACAGTGCTAGTATGAATGCTCATGCTACATTTGTTTATATAATACACTTCTTTCAGAAGGTATTTTGTATACAATAAAATCATTCATTACACATACGTACTGATATAAACAAGAGTGTAAAACTGCAGTATAACAAAATAACAATCAGCATACATTGCATTCACAGAACTTTAGCCAGACCCTTTATGTATAAGTGAGAGGCATGGAAGTGAAGTACTTGCCTAAGCCACAAGCAGTCCAACATACACTATCCTTTGCACATGGATTTTCTGGCTCCCCATCCCTGCAGTTGGTGTGGATGGATTGCACCATAGAAATAGCCTACATTTTCTTTTTCCCCAGGAAATGAGTAAGGCAACTTATCAATCTTTCCCAGGATATGCAAACTGTGCATACACCTGCCTCACCACAGGAAGCAGTGAATGAATTCCTTGTTTTGCTTTGCTTGAATGCATGGCTTTTGCTTTCCCTATAAAATTGTCTTTATCTCAATGCATGAGTTTTCTCATATTTACCCTTCCAATTCTCTCCCCCATCCCAGTGGAGGGGAGTGAGCAAGAGGCCATGTGGTGTTTCATTGCTGGCTGGGTTTAAACCATGACAGGCTGATTAACTGACTTTTGGTTAATTGTTTTTTTCAACTGATGAGAAAGTACTCATTATCACAATATTCCTATTTCTCATAGTGAGAAAATGAGGAGAAAATGGGATGGAATTCATCTTTTTCCCTAATTTTGACCACTTCAAATTATGTAATTTTGCAGCAAGTTCAGTACTCAGCAAGTTTCTTTCATGTCCCTGTTTTTAGGTTGTGCTGTGGATGGTCATCCAACCCCAAACATCACGTGGCTTTACTCTGGTAAGCCACTCAGTCTGCAGCATCGCCTCCTGGCAGCAGGACGGATTCTTCAGATACTCAATGTTAGTGATGCTCTGGATGGTGAATTCAGCTGCCTTGCTCAGAATGAGGCCGGCTTGCTCACACAAAAAACGTCCCTGGCTGTACAAGGTAACTTAGCAGTTTCAGTGAAGCCCTGAGAAGCTCTTGCCATGGACTTCCCTGCTCTGCCTTTCTCACCTCATATTTCTGCTCTCTGAAGCCAGGACTGTCATATGCAGCACGAAATAGATGTTTGATATTTTACTGCTATGAATATAGATTTGCAGGACCACCAGGTACCTTAGAGTCTCTTAGGTTTTATTTTACCAAAATCATACCTGATATTTCTGGCCTGCTGAGCATAAACCCCACCATATTGATTCAAGCTATGCTTAAGCTTGTTGAGACTGGACAACGTTATTGTCCAGAAATTCAAGATAAAGATGTCATTATTTGAACACCTAAAATTAAAAAGCCTATGTGTTCATCTGCTAAAGTCACTGTTTCGCAGTCTTGTCTTGCTTGAAAACCTTTCACCTGGACAAATGCTGCAACTGTTATGTTTACCCTAGAAATAAGCTGAGGGTGATAAAGCCATAGAACAGAGCAGTGCAGATGGGTTGGAACAGAAAATGCAGCTTTCATGGCTCCAATTATCAGGGATGAAGGATGGTGAAGAATTTAACTTTTCCTTAAATTTTATTACCAAACTGTGTTGCAACTCCCTCGTACATCTTCATGATGGATGATCTGTATGATCTACCTGGTGAGAAACACACTGTTGTAAGATCACAGAATCACAGATACTGCTGGTAACTGCAATTAACCACATCTTCACTAAATCACACCCCTTTAAAACTATAGATGTAATGTCCTGCATCACTGGACTCTGGCTTCTCTTGACTGCTCTACCATGTCATTCACTTTCCATGCTTGATGCTTCTAAGCACCAAAAAATAGGAGCATTTTTTACATGAAAGACAGTGGACATAGGTAGCTCCCTTTCACATGAGTCCAAATATTTAATCCTGGAGATTACCTCTAGCTCTCTTTTCTAAGGGCTTCCTAATGGCAATTTTTGAGTGTTAACATGCCTCCTCCACACTTTTTGGCAGAATACCAGTGGTCAGTGGACAAGCTGATGGCTTGTTCAGCTTCCTGCGGCCACAAAGGCGTACAGCTGCCCCAGCTGAGGTGCTTACTAGATGGGGCCGAAGTCAACATATCCCACTGCAAAGAGAAGCCCAAGCCAGCCCTGCAGCCCATTGCATGCAACAGGAGAGACTGCCCTTCACGGTTTGTCTGTTTCATGTTAAAATGTCATACGTGCTTTTAAGATGTGCTTGAAGAGTTCTTTGAACTGTTTATGATGCCATTGCAGCCTCTCAGGTGTGGGTCTGGAGAAAAATCATGGCTAAAGGGAATGTACGAGTGCTTAACCTAACCACCTGGGAATTTGTAGGAACATTTGTGGAAAACTGACAGTACATGGTAGAAAGAGAGTTTACTCCTTCAGTAATTAGGTTAGAAAAAAACAGAGAAGCTATTGCCTACTCTTGATTAGCAAAGTTCACACCTTGAGTTGTCTTGGAAGATTCCAGCCTCAGCCTATGATGGATGTGAATATCATACCTATTCTGGACTGCATACATATGGGAATTGTATGGTCACATCTTTTTTGCGTTCCACCTAGCTTCATACCAGTTTATCCCAACAATATACCAGACAAGAAGCTAGATTTAGGAGCTATTCTGGGGCTTTATTCTGAGTTCTTATGTTGCCTGAACATCAATATGGGCAGGACTGTAGCTGCAGGTGTAAAGAATTTCCTTAGCAGACTGGAATGTCTTTTGTAAAATGGACATATCCCATAAGATCTAGTGGGCATGAAGCAGGGTCAGACTGAGTTTTGCCTCATTTTTTGGATTGCTAGCTTGTGGTTTCCTTGGGATTTTAACTCTCCACCCCTGTAGTCCCCTGGTTTTCAGTTACTGTTTAACACAATGGAGCCAGGACAGCATGAAAGACTTATGGCTACACTTTAGGTATTCCTTTGATGCTTCCCCTCCATGCAAAACATTTTCCTTCTTTGATACTCTTTGGTGCAAAGAAAAATACATCCTGAGTGCCTATTCAGAGAGTCAGTGTACTGTTATACTCCGTCCCTGTTAAAAATGTCCTCCTTCCACAATTCTATGGCTCCTTAGCTGAGATGTATAAACGTGCTTTTACATATTTTTCTGTTTTTTTACTCCCTCCTCTCCCTTAATTCCTCTGTAGATATGGTGTGTTTCAGTATACAAGCACTTAAAAGTAGTCAGGATCTCAGAAGAATTTCAGTACAACTTCTCTCATTCAACAATGATTTGGGGCTCGCATTAAAAAAGAATCTAAGCTAAGGCAAGGAAAGGCTAGGTAACCTGATGAAAAGTAAGTGGCCAGATTTACCACTCTTGCTGTGTCTTGAGTATACGGCAAGACTCCATTTTATTACCTTTAAAAATATATCCTACCCCTCTTTTCAGGCAAATTTTTTTTTAGCTGCCAACTGACTCATAAGATGGAAACCAAAAGAGATTTGATGAAATATGAAACACACTCATTAGCAGCAGTTTTCCTTGGTGACGGCAGTAAATTCCATGGGAATGGTTTATGTCTTTTTATACCGTCCCTGAACTGTAATGCAGCCCACGGTCCTCCCTCAGCTCCTGAGAAACTCGTGAGATGTAAGCTTGGAAATAAAAATTGATTGAAATGCAGAACAGAGCTTTATGAGGGATGTAGAAATTTCAGATTCCACTTCACCAAACTGCATGAAAAAAGCAGCAATGTTTTTGTTTTCCACATTGGGAATGTGTTTGTTTGTATACTTGTTTCTGTGACCGTGGGAGTTAATCACCTGCAGAAGACTGAGGAATAGCAATGGATGCCTCTCCATGGAATTGGAAACCACCTACTGCCTATTTTGTAAAGTGATCATAAACATTGCTGGTGAGAGATGTGACAGGCACTATTTTCCTCCTAATAACACACAAATCTTGTTGAATATCCTGAAACTTAACAACGCAAACTGGTGACTTGACCATAATACTCTTCAGGAAACTGAAGATCAGTTATTATTAATTAATCAGTTGCATCCTTCCTGTTCCTACCTACCACCTTCCTGTACTAACTTTATGAGTGTTTCACTTCATGATCCTTAAAGAGACAAAATGTGTTGTCCATCTTGGTAAGAGTTTGGACCTGGACTATTATTTTATGCTGTTACAGGCCTTTACTAGTTAGACCGGATAATTTTAAACCCCAGCACATAATGGTTCAGAGCCTTAGCCTCCAATGGCAAATGCATGGTCTGAGGTCAAGAAGAAAGAAGAAAGGTGTCCTTTGTCCCTTAGCTCGCTGTGCACCAGCCCCATCTCTGAGCAACCTTCAGGCTTTTCTGGATTATCCTAGCTGTCAGGGACATAACAGAGCAGGCAGATGCCAGCAGGACCCAGCACGCTTTTGGCTATTCTGTCAGAAGCAAGTTCAAAGTGGCCTGTGAGCTACTCCAACGACTTCACAGGCAGTTTTCCATGCTAGGGGGTGTAAATATGCTAGTCAGTGCTGGCGCTGTGACTGTAGCCTGTGGCGGAGGCCTCTGTGGCAGCCATGTCCACCTCCTGTACCTGGGCTAGGAATATATGGAGCCTTTACAAACAGCCTTAAGGGCTAGAAAATTAATTCTGGGCCCAAAGAGCCTTGAGAAAGACAGTGTAATTAAAAATGTGCTCTTTTCTCAGCGTTCATCCTCCAAGCACTTTTCAGTGACTACTATGGGAGGCTCAGGTACTCAGCACCTTGCAGGATTGCATCCTAAATGAACCAGCCATTGTTGCTTTTCTTTGGTCTAATACATAAAGATCTGTTGACATCAGTGATCCCTCAGATGGTGACATGTATCTGCTTCCTGACACATTTTCCTTTCTCTCACAGATGGATGGTAACGTCGTGGTCTTCTTGCACACGGAGCTGTGGTGGAGGCATCCAGATTCGGCGAGTGACATGTCAGCGCCTGACAGTGAAAGGCAACTCTGTCCCAGTGTCAAATGAGGCTTGTGCCCAGGTGTCGAAGCGCCCTGTGGACACACAGAACTGTAACAGGCAGCCCTGTGTTGAGTGGGTTGCCTCCTCCTGGGGCCAGGTAAGAGACAAGCCACGAGTCCAAGGACAGCCTTAATAGTGTGGGCTAGAAAAAGACAGAAAATGAGAGGAGTGATTTTGCACCCTGGTATCTTTAGCTTACAGTCTGCAGGCTTTTCAGGAGGCAATTAAGCTACTCAGCTCTTTCAACTCCATGTCTGATGCATGGCATGCTTGCATTTCTGTAGCTTGTCACGATCCCTAGAAGTGCTGCTTGTAAACAGGACTTTTACTGGAAACTGCTGTACCATCCCCAATGGAAAGGTTTGAAAGTCCTCTATATAGTGACAGGTGACACATCTGGGAAACAGCCTTCTCAAAGTCTTAATTTCCCTTATCACCTAGTGCGTGTGCTTCAGTTTTGGCTTGCAGGAGTCAGGACTGATGACTGTGATAGGTTAGGGGCAGGGGTTGTACATTAACCCAGTTTGGTAAAGCTGCTGATGTTGCCTAAGAATGCTAAAGAAGTGGGAACTTTCTTGATTTGCTTTATGATGAAAAGCAGAGTGGAGGGCTAACTGCATTTTCAGACTACTTCATGCTGTTTTGCAGATGTTCAGATTCTCTCCTTGCAGCTTCATACAATGATCAGATATTAAAAAGCTTCACTCCATAAGTACCAAATGTTCTAAGTATTTAGAGTTAAATAACTTTATTGTGGGAATCCACAGAAGAGTTATGTCTTTGTCTCTCTGAGAGCTATGAGATTTCCTGAAAAGACGCTTGTCAATATGTAATCAGTTATAACCTGGGACCAGTCATTACTATGTGCTTTCCTCCCTTTGCTCTCCACTCCATCTTGACTGAGCCATATGTGAAAGTTGATGAGTCCACTACAGTCCAAACTAAGTGATAGAAACTCACAGATTTCAGCCCAGAGATTTCCAGAATAGCGATTCACATGGGGGTATCACATTGGAGGGTGAATGAGAGACACGGTTAAATCCACAGAAGCCAGTTTTGCTTGAGATTAAAGCCAGATACCCATACTATTTAACGTCACTTCTGGTGAAAGAAATATTTTCAAAGGGAAGAAGAAAAGCAGTTTGACAAAGCCAAAGTAGTCATACATCTAATTGAAATGATGAGTCAGGTAAAGGTATAGAAGCAGGACTTCTTGCCATGCAAGAAGAGGGTAAGAAATAATTACCCAGACTAATAACTGTAAGTCTCGACATACATCGAGCTATCATGAAACATTTTGCCTCCTTTTCTAATAAGCATGTGTAAGTAAGTTTGAAAACAATGGCAAATGCTATGTCATTTTATTAGAGATTAGAGTAATATGATAGTTTGTTATTAATAACCACATGCATTCTATATTTGTTTGGGCTAATATGCACAACACATTGCACTGCATCAGGATCTTTTACAATATTTGTATTAAGAAGTGTCTTCAGCTAGTAGAATTTGTTATGTTCTCTATGTCAAAACAGCTTCATTTAACTCTTGCCTGTGTATACTGGAAATTTTTCCCATGAAAAGTGAATGAGTTATTGTATTACATTTATGAGTAAAGCTTGGAATTACCATTTTATATGAAAGAAGCAAATTTTTTCATTCCGTATGGAATTCCAGGTAAAGGCCTGGATTATCCTTGCAAAAAGCTAGTTACATCACCTTTATTTTGTAGGTTATTATGGGCTAAATTGTTTCACATGACAGCACACTCAGGTGAGACAGAGAGGTCTGAATTAATTTTCTAGACCTAACCTCTGTGCATTGTAATATAATATTTCTTCTTCCTATCTTAAAAAAAAACAAAAAAAATCAAGTCCCAAATGATTCTATACAGCTAGTCTCCAAGCCAGAAGACTGTTACTTAACTACAGTTAGGAACGTATCACTGACTCAATGGATCAATGACCTTCTTGTAGTATCACAGGTTGCGGTTTCTCAGGTACTGACCAACTTCCCCAAGTCACAGAGAAAATAAATGGACTACCTACCCTACCCCCCCAATTAATTCCTCTCCTTCATTTAATGTCAGTGGCATTTTGAGCTCTGCTATGTAATCCCACCGTGTTTTACAACTAGTGACTCGGGGTTGCTGGTGATGAAGGATGCTAGCCTCTGCAGATACAACAGAAGTGCTCTACATACTCCAATGATAGACATTTCCATCGACCTTGTTCAATGAGGGGGTTGATGGGGAGCAATTGGAAATCTGTCAGTAACTGCTTCTCTCTCCCAGTTGTCAGGGAGGGAAGAAACAGCGGCAGAAAGGGAGTGTTATGTGAGCAGTGCATATGAAGTAGGGCTCCCACTTACAGGGAGCACAGAGGGAAGAGGGATGAGTCAGCAGCCCTCCCCTGGCAAAAATTCCTCCCTCACACTGAAGTCCCTTTCTTCAACCCTTAAATCTGTTCTTGAATATCATTTCCAGACACACAGGGGAAAAGAAAAAAAAAAAAACACCACCACAACTTTTTCCTAACAGTTGATATAATTTTAAAAGGACACAAATACGTGCTTCATACCTATAGCTAATTATCATTTAACTGAAGGAGAGGATTAGACAGTTAAACAGTAACATGTGCTTGGTAAGCTTGAATAGGTTAGGGTAACCTCAGTACTGTAGCAAGCTTGCGGATCTGCTGTGTTTGTCATGCTTGCTGCTTTTGTTCATTGTCTTGCAATGCTTTAAATTATTAAATGGAGTGGAATATAGTCTTGGTTCAATGTATTCCTAGTTATTAACTATTTGCCCATAAATCATGATAGTACAAGCTGCAAAATGCACAATAAAAGGAATGCATTGAGATTTCCTATATGAATCATAGCCTCTTGGCTGATGACATGGAAGTATTTTATTTGTCCTAACAGATGTATTTAAGATTGAATTATTGAAAAAGAGAGGTAATGAATCTACAGAGCAGATCTAGAAATGCAATTTTAATGCTGCTGGAGGATAATGAGGTAGGGCAGAAGATGACTGGGTGCTCAGCTTTCAATGCCTGCAGAGCTGCAGTAAGTGTTCCAAAGCTCAACGGCAGTATGCAATTTATTTCGCAAGCAGTCTCACAAAAGGGGGACATGTCCTGCCTTTTACCTCCCTTAAGTGATTTTTCTGTTTTCTTAGTGTAAAGGGCCTTGCATTGGACCACGACTGGCTGTACAGCACAGACAGGTATTTTGCCAGACCAAAGATGGGACTTCTGTGTCATCTGATCAGTGCAGTGCCTTACCAAGGTAGGACAGGAATGCAATATGTCTGAAACCACTATCCTTCGCAGAGATGTTAAATGGACTAGTGACTTACTTGGCAAGTTTTGGGTTTCTCTTATGGAACAAAGAGGTCATGCTGCAACCATACAGTTACATTGTACAAATCTTACCAGGCTTAACCCTAGGCTTCACCGTTTGTTCTTACGAGCCCCAGCAATAAAACACTTATTGGCCAGCAACAGGAAAGTCTTCTAGGCATGCTAAATCCTGACTGAAAGGCTGTGCTATGTCTTCTTAAGCTGCCAGTCTTCTTCTCATTTCTTTATACACTCTAACTGGGGGGAAAAAAGGGACTCCACAGCTTTTGTTTTCCTGCAGATAAACTCCCCAGTCAACATTGTAAAGACATTTTTACATGTAAATCATGCCTGATCGTGACTGAAAATTAATATAATTGGCTCTTTAGCTCCCAGTCATGTATTTTCATTATCTGTGGGAATTAAGTATGCCTTATGCGTCAACTGTGAGACTGTGTAGAAGGGAAAAAGAGGGTTTCAGAGAACTGGTTTTATTTCCAATGGTGGCAAAGCCATAAAAAGGTTACAAAGGCATGCTGGGTCTTACTGATCACCACTTCACTCATTACTTCTTCTCAGTGGACCCCTTGTTTGGCACTTCATGGAGAGGACATTTTGGCCAAATCCTTAAACAGTCCAGGTGGTCATTTAACTCCAGTAGTGCTATTTTAGTGCATGCCTGCTGAAGGTGTGGTCCTTTACTGCAGTTGTAAACTGCCTTTCAGTGTGCTAGAGTTACCCTCACTTCACCATGTGAAGACCTGACCCATACAGTGCTCTGAGTGAATTATTTTTGGGATAGGCAAGGCTTGCTGTCCCCAGAGCTTGCATGACCCGTGGAGTGGTGTGCATTTGCTCCCTGAGCAGCATGGTGACAGGCCATCTTCTCTCTCCCTGCCCATAGGCCATTGAGCACCCAGAACTGCTGGACTGATCTCTGTGGTGTGCATTGGAGGGTCAGCCTGTGGACTGTCTGCACAGCTCCATGTGGAAACTACGGCTTCCAGTCCCGGCACGTCGACTGCGTGCACATCCGCACCAACAAGCCTGTGCTGGAGCATCACTGCTCTTGGAGGCCACGGCCAGCCAACTGGCAGCGCTGCAACATCACACCCTGTGAAAACGGTACTTTGCTGAGAGGAGGGGAGCCAGTGCGGCACCAAGGGGAGGAAAGAAGGCAGAGCCATCTCTCAGAAATACAGCACTGGGCATTATAGCTGGGCATTCTGGGGTACCTCCAGCCCAAACATGTGCAAAATGCAGTGTCCAAAACTCAGCACCCAGCGGGGAATGGTGCCTACTGTGGTTTGTTAGTGATAGTGTTAGTGCTGGGATTACATCCCCTTGCTAATACTGTCTAAAATGGCTGATGCACTCTTAACTTTCCATTGACAGTACAGACAGAAAGAAATGCACAAATCGCAAACAGACTGCTGGCTAGAGCTAAAATACAGTGAGTCTAAATCCAATGGCTAGGTTGACGATGGGAATTCCTGGAGTTGAGGCTGCTTGCTTTCAGGTGACAGGCAACTAACTGGGCCTGCCGAAAGACTAGATAAGTTACAAATATGTTTTTAAAAGCAAAAAAGGAGAGATGATGTGCCCCTTTGGAAGTTATGCCCCGCTATGGCAGTGTCTGCTTGGGAAAGACCAGACAACACAAGTTTAAATTGCTATTTTCTCATTTGCCATGGCTCCCACTTCACTGGCTGATTTTGTTGGGCAGATTCCATCCTCGAGAATGCAAGCCATTTCCTGTGCAGTCATCACAGAAGTAGCAGCAGAACCCACCTGTGCTTGCCTGCAGCCACACCAACTCTTGAGGCTCCATCTCAGTAGAGACAAAGCAGACTCCACAGGTCCAGACATGTGAGCTGAGTTTGGGGTGCGCTAATGGAAGTGGAAGGGCTAAGGGAGCTTACAAGTACCAAACAAGACCCTTGCTGTCCCTGCAGCCCCTTCCTGCTATATATAAATGTCCTGTGATGATCCCCTTTCCAGCCTTAGCATGGGAAATGGGACTCCCTCAGGCAACAACACTCACAAGGTCTCGCAGGGATGCTGGACAGTTTTCCAATCTGGAGTGACAAAGCAGGAGTCTGTGGGCCTCCAAAATTGTCAAAATAGTACCAGGACCAAACTCCTAGGGGAGCTCAAAAAGTGTCTTAACATCCTTACCCCAAGCTGTGCTCTGGAATGCACTTGTGACAAACACAATACAACACCTGTTCAGCTGAGGTAACAGTCACACACGCTGTCTCTTCAAGTGCAAAAGGTTGGCCAAAGTGCCTCTGAGCTACTCTGTTAAATTGAGTTTCCAGTTTTATTTACTGCGTCATCTCTGGTATAACAATTCTTCTGAAACTCCTAAAGCCTCCCTAAAATGTTGGTGGGTGACAAACTGACAGTGTTGGAGCAGCCTCAGAAGTCCTCTCCCCAGTCCCTGAAAGCAAAAGCTCCCACCACGTTTGCCTTTGAGCCTTTGGACGCTTGAAGTCCTGCTCAGCAAGTGAAATTCATGCTCATAGGGAAACCTCTCAACACAAAGCTGTCTAGGTTCCCCTCTTGGCCACCCCAGGAAATGTTTTCAGGTAAGAAATCTTTCTTTTATTTGTTTCATCAACATTTCTCCTTTCTGTTTCCCCTTCGGCAGTGGAGTGCAGAGACACCACAAGGTACTGTGAGAAAGTGAAACAGCTCAAACTCTGCCAACTCACCCAGTTCAAGTCACGTTGCTGTGGAACTTGTGGAAAAGCTTGAAGACAAAAGTAGTGGAAATGGAGGAACAAGGGGATCACAGACTTTGCTTCGATGACGCAAGGACTTTTAAAGAAAGTATAGATGGAATGGAATTCTTTTTTTCATTTTATTTATTTATTTCCCTAAAAGAAAGAAAAAAGGAAAAAAAAAAAAAAAGAAAAGAAAACCTTTTACCAAATCATTGTTGACAAGTTTTCCCTTCTGTGAATCTGGGAAATCCTGCAGCAAAACATGATCATGAGGGTAAACCACAAAGAGTCAGTGAGTCCCACGCCACCAGCAGTGGGCCTGAGAGGAGTGGGACTACCCCATAATCCATGTAGATGCCTTACATTAGCAGACAGTTGGGGAAATGGATCAGAGTAAAACCATCACATTGAACCACCACAATATGAATCAAATATCCAAACAGCTTGACAGGTCTTGGGCTACTGTAGGAAAAAAAGTAGGAAAAAAAAGGCAAAACTAAACATTCAGCTATGTGGTATATAGATACTTCATCTATCTTAGATGACTTTGAGAATACAAGCATATGATTTTGCTTTATAAATCTGTTACAGACGAGATCAGATTCCTTTTTCTCATTCTAAATCCCTCTCTCCTTCTCATGCCAGGCCTTCAAACTTTTTCAGTGGGAGATCCTGGTATCTTTGAGGATCTGGTGCCTGGGGAAGTTGAAAACGGTGTGTAATGTGAGCCTGAAGTACACCAGGTGGTGCTTGTGAGGGGGGATTAGGGATAGGAGGGTTGCCTTCAGCGCAGAGGTGAGGTAATGGTGATAATTATAGGAGATAAAGTATGATCTGCTATTGACAGACTGTAGCACAAACCTGAAAATGCTGTCCTGTAGAGAGTACAGGCAGGAAAACCAGAAATTGTCTGTGGTAACAGGAGCTACTTGGCATACTGCGTCCTACTAATACTTACTTGAAAAGAGAGGAGTACTAATTCCCAGAGTTCAGATGCTTCCAAACCTCGGGTTTTGGAAAGGAACTTGAGGAAGTGTGTTTTCCTATCCTGCTAACATGAATTTCTCTCTCCTGGCAGACAAGCAAGCAGTAGGAAAGAAGGAGAAAAGAGATGTATTCTGATGTCTTGCAGTTATTCCTGCTCAGTAGAAACAGAACAGATTCAGTATCAGGCCTAGAGGACTAACACAAGTACTTTTTAACAAACTTGCTTCTCTCCAATTGCCTTCCACAACAAAACAGGTGCTATAAAGCCGCACATTTTAAAGCCCATGTGTAACACTCTGCAGATACAATCTAAAAAGTGAGGCTCAAACATCAAATCCACAGCATGACTTTGCATGCTGTCTGTAAGTCTTTCCCCTGGCCAACTGCAGCAGTTACTCAACCAGTGATGTACTTCATGCTTTTATTTCTTGGGCACTCTCTGCTCTGCTCAGAATAGGGCCCTAAAATTAGAGGATATCTGCAAAGTACAGCATTTGAGCATTGTGAAACTTTACAGGAGAGCTATTTGGACCTGACGACGTTGGTACAAGACCACCTCTAAATTAAAGGCTTAATTAAAGGTCTCTCCTGTCACCCTCAATGGGGCTCATGCCTTGTGGTACATTAATGAAATGGTGTTTGAGTACTGCTGTGTTACAGCTTCCATGACGTAGATTTTTCAGCAAAGCTGGGAGTCTATTTTGAGGTCAGTGCGAGGTTCATGACATTAAACTGTCTGAAGTTGGGTTACTTCAAAACACATCTGGCAGTGAATGTTTTTATTACAAATGGGTCTTCAAGAAATAGTGTTGCTAAGCATCAGTGTAACTTGTTATTTAATAAAAGAAGAATGTCTTTCTATGTATGTAAATGTATATCTTTTCTGTATATTTATTAGGATTTCTTGTATAAAAAGTGCAATATTAATAATTGTACATTATTTTGTCCAGATAAAACTATTTGGGTTTTTTTCTTTTAAATCTCCCCAGAATTTTGTTCCTCTATAATCAACAGTAATAGTGTACTTCTCTTAATTTTAATAGCACATGCATTTAATTGGGGATCTGCTTCACTGTGCACAGAGTGCTTTATAAACTATGACATGAGGGAGGGATGATGCTTTTAACTTGTGAAATAATAGTTATGCATGGAATGAAGGACAGTTCCTTAATAACAATAGTAACAATGATGATGATGATGTGGATGTTTCTAGTACAGTAGTCAACAAAAAGCAGTACAGGGAAGTATTTTCATTTGTTTAATAGCAAAACATATTCAGATGCTCACATTTTGAATAGTAGCTGGGTAATAGCTCACAGGATGAACACAAAGGATGCAGAGGGGCCATTATGTTGTCTCTGCACAGTGTAGATTTATTTACGTGTCTGTCCTCTTAATTGTGACTTGGCAGCATCTCCGTAAAGATTGCTGAGTATTTTATGAAAGGATGCTTTCCTTCTCTAAAAAAAAAAAAACCAAAACCACAAACTTGTATTTATATAACTTTTTGTACAAGTAATGCAAGTTACTTATTTAACTACTGCTGTCTGACGTGTTGTTTATTAATCTTAAAAACAAAAGCCAAACAAAGTAGCAAAGCTGTTGGAGTACTCTGTCCTTATACTGTATTATGATAACAGCACACAGCTGTTACATGAAGTGCAAATGATCTACCTGCCTTGGGGAAAGAGGATGTCTTAACTTGTTTTTAAAAGTCTCCAGCCATTAAGATTCTGCATCCTGTCTTACATATCTGTTTTAATTCTTCATTTGTCTTGCTTTATTCTTCTTTGCTAATATCTTGCCTCTATTGCTCTTGCAGAAGTATAAAGCCACCACTGCTGGTCCTAGGATCATGAAAATCAGTAAAAGTATACTCCTGTCTTTCTATGCAGCAGTACTTAAAGACATTTTGTAACTCTCCTCAGCAACCTATGGCATGAAGCAAACCCTACAACTTCAGTCTTTCCTTATAGGATGCTGCTACCTTCAGCAATGGATCTTCCAACTCCTCGAAGCGTCAAGTGTATATGTAGATGGAAACCTGGTAATAGTCAGAATTACTAGGAGGAGGGAAAGAAAAACTAAAATAAAGCAATAGCATTTTCTCTCAACAATGACAAAATCAGGTTTTGAAAACTAAGCTGATTCTGCTGTTGCCCTTTTCAAGCAAGTGATACAATGTCTCTCCTAAAAGAGAACAGTGATTTTGCTCTGATTTACTGACAGTTTCTCTAGTATGATGTTCCTGCATATGCTGTTTGGACACCTACTCTGCAGGTATAGACGCCTCACACATACATAAACACAACACAGATGCAAGCCAAAGACCAAATCTGAGACATTCAGACAACAGTACTGAAGGCAAAGGGAGTTCAGTCATTCATTTTGAGTAATACAAATATAGAAGCTGATGTTGATGCAGAACGAAGAGCAGGCCACCTTAGGTTCTCAAAAGAATAATTATTCTCTTTTTATGTATATGGCTCTGGTTACCAGTTAAACCAAAAAGCTTTCAAAACCTTGAAAGTAAGCTTCCAGTTTTGTTCTCCCTACTAATTTTCCTCGAGGAAGAAAAACAGTTCTGCAATAAGCAGAAAAATGCAGTGCTGAAAGGTTCCCCACAGGAGATCTACTCCTGCCCCCTGTTACAGGGCAAGGTAAGCACAGCTAAACTACTCCAGGCCTGTATGTCTGCAAACACAGAAGCACATAATGATTTGAGGTGGAAGGGACTTTAAAGATCATCAAATTTCAACCCCCCCTGCCATGGGCAGGGACACCTTCCACTAGACCAGATTGCTCAAAGACCTGTCCAACCCAGCCTTGAACACTGCCAGGGATGGGGCAGCCACAGCTTCTCTGGGCAACCTGTGCCAGGACGTCACAGTAAAGAACTTCTGCCTAATGTCTAATCTAAATCTACCCTCTGGCAGTTTAAAGCCATTCCCCCCTTGTTCTGTCACTACATGGTCCTCATAAAAATTCCCTCTGTAGTTAGTTCCCCTTTAGGCACTGGAAGCTGCCTTAAGGTCTCCCTGGAGCCTTCTCTTCTCCAGGCAGAACAAGCCCAACTCTCTCAGGAGAGTCCTTACAGGAGAGGGGCTCCAGAACCCTGAACATCTCTGTGGCCTTTCTCTGGACTCACTTGAACAGGTCCACATCCCTCTTGTGTTGGGGGCCTCAGAGCTGAATGCAGTACTGCAGGTGGGCTCTCATGAGAGCAGAATAGAGGGCAGGAATCACTTCCATTGATGTGCTCTTACAACCACAGAAGCCATAAGCAGAATTTTCCGAAGTAACCTCTAGCTGGAAATCTTTTCACACTTTCTGGCCATATGCACTGCAATCAAAGCCTTTTTTCTTGAATCATAGAATCATAGAATACTTAGGGTTGGAAAGTTATGATCTTTTTTGCAAATCACCCTATCAAGCAAAAAGCTAATGATTACCTTACTATCTGTTAGGTGCCCAAACACTGATTCATAAGTTTATTTGATTATCCTATATCAGCATAAGCTGACACCTCTATTTGTAGAAAAAGGTGAACCAAAATCTTACCCTCTTCCAGATTTTCAGGACTGTAGAAGTCCTCGTAAGTTCTTAATGTCAGCAGTTGTTCAGTTATCTAATTCTTAACATGAAAGTTTTCAAACTGTTTTGAATCTCAGATTTTCTGACAGGCTGTCACCGTATACACTTGGGAAGCTCAGAACTGCTAATGCTATGGCCTGCATATTGGCTGCAGACCACACTTTAGGAATCATCAATTTAACTGTTCCCTTCATCCTATTGTTTAAAGGTGTATATATGTTTATTAATAGTGTTACATATTAACTGTCACACTCAGCTTTTATTTGTGGAAACTAAACCAAAGAAAATGTCAAACACTTCAGTTCGCACTTTTTTTTGAGGGAGGGGATGACCTCTTACACATTTAAGTTTTACACATTTCCCATTACATATTAGTTAATCATCATTTTCACCTGCACCGTGTTTCATCTTCTCAACACAGCATCTCCCCTCTGGTCATACACATAGTCATTTTAATAAACTTTTCATGTAAAGCTCTCACTAAGACATTTCAATAATATGCAACCCAACATGTTATTTATCCAGATTTTTGAGAAAAGCCACATGTCCGCATCTCCTCTTCTGATTACAATACTGTGATACTTATTTCTTACAATACTTACTTTTATCCTCACCTGCCTTTTCACTGAGATACAATGCTTGCTCCCATTCCTAACTTCACCCATCACACACCCATTTCTCCTTGGCACCTCACTGTCCCAGTGACAAAAGCCCAGAGCTACTTCTCTACTCCTGACTTGCTCATATGGCTCCAAAGAGCTCTGCAGGTCTTTGACCTGACATTTAATTCGATGACTAAATTTAATAGCTAAACATTTCTTCTTTCCAAGGAGGCACTCCATCCTACTATGCTCCTCCACCACTCCCTTCGAAATCACTGCCTCTGTCAGCAAAAGCAGTGGCTTTTGTGGAAGATGGGCACCATGTTTCTAAAGGCCAGATTCCCACATTACTCTGCACAGCATGTCAGTGAAGCTACTGCAGCATCATTGCTAAGATCACACAACAAATGCAACCTTGGTACCACAAAGCGCTCATCCTTCACCAGAGGCATGGTTATTGCCTGCCAGGGCACTCCACACTTGCCCAGACACACATATTTCCCAGGTGCCAGCTGCAAAACCAGGTATTTGGGTAAGTCCCTGAGGCTACAGGAGGGCTGCAGTACAGCCAGCAGGACTGCACCAGCAGCAGCCCCAGCTGAATGCAGCCCAGGCAGGAGACTCCCCTCTGCTGGCAGAGCAAGTGCTCTGAGACAAGCAAGGAGACACTTCAGCTGCCTTGAGCCAGGGAAAGGGTTCAAAAACTCTGATAACAAGGGCTTTTAGGCTAAAGTAATCAACAAAGGATGTGCTGCTTATCCAGGATGCAGTTGTCTATCCTTCCTGCTAACACACTGTTTACCTCTTAAGAAAGGGGAAAAAAAGAGAAAAGTGAGAATGTTGTCTAAACCCTTAAGCCCTCCGCAAAGAAAAGCTTTATATTTGTGGAAATATAAATAAACATATGCAGTTTTACGTGGCTAAAAGTGAGGGGGACACTGGAGGGTTGTAGTCTGGCTACGTATAAACACTGTTTGTTTAAGCAGTGGCAGGATATGAACAATTGCATAGTAAGCATATAGTTATCCACACATGCTTAGAACGACATCGGCATGGAAAACCACTCCCTACCACCCTCTGTAACACTATAAAGCAGCCTGCAGCTTCTAGATCTTGGATGAAGTCTGAGCCCACTTCATTTACAGACTCCCTAGGGCTACTGACAAAGCACAATAATAAAACCTGAGCCGGAAAGATCACACCAGACATACTCTGAACAGCTTGATCTCCAAGTGAGGAGCTAGGACAAGTTTCTTTTCTCTTGAAGAAGTGCTTAATGGTTGGGCTGAGGAGTAATCTGGTTTGGGCTACATGAAGACTTCCCCCACCCTTTTCAACATGCTGCTTTTCTTTAAAAAAGCATAAATTACTAGTTTAAATAAATAGCCCATGAGGTTGTTGGATGCTTGTTAAAACACTTCACCTACTGAAACACTGGCGGAGTCAGTTTTCAACTAATAGCATATAACCTAGTGATTTTATTACCAAGAAAGAAAAATCTGCCTGTTAACCCACTACATACAAATCACAGCAAATCAAATACAGCTGTGCAGGGAGGATCCCACAGGCATTTCTATTTTAGCAGAGGGCAAAGAGAGCAGGGCCCTGCTCTCCAAGCAGAGCAACAAGCTCAAGCCTGTGTGATGGCACATGGCAGGGCTGTGTGAGCCCTCCTGCCTGTCTGGGGACTGTTCAGACCAACAAGCACAGTGCTAGTGAGTTGGTGGAAACCGGGAATATAGAGCCAAACACGCTGTTGCCTCTGTAAGAGTTATCCTGTTCCTTACCTGCTGAATGCAGCCTAAAACATGTTAGGACAGACCTGCACCCAGATGGAGAAGTGAAATCAGGTTGCCCCAAAACAGTATTTCCCCACAAAAGCAGGAAGGAAGGCACAAATCACTGGGACTACTGTTCCCAGTGTGGGAAAGAGGCAGAAGAACACACTAGTACAATACGGGAAAAGGGATTTGTAATGGGATCAGCCAAAAGCAAACACTGCTTAGAAAATTTGTTAGGGAATTTTCCCATGTCAGTGAACCCAGACCACAGTTCTCTGCCCAAATGCCTCTTTCCAACTGAGAAGGCATAGCTCCCTTGGAGACATCTCAGCCATGCCCCAGGAAAGTCTTTTTTTTTTTGTTTGCCTTGCAAAGAAACAGATTGCTTTTTCATATGTAAAATTCAGCTGCCTGTGTCTCTGGATTACAATGCCCAGGATCAATATTCTGTGCTTCTGTGATAGGAACGTCCTCAGTCCTTGCTGAGGCATACCATTTATCTTTCAACACATTCTTCATAGCCCTGAAACACTTGAGGTGCTGACAGTCTATAGCACTGGATGAAGCCCTTTTTAGAGTTTGCAGTAGAAAAGTTTGTAAACAAATTTGCTGCCTGTTCAAATTTCTAGACCATAAATATGTAACTTACCGATTGCTTTGACCTCTCACCTATTGCCAACTGCAAATCTTGTCCAGATGGAGTAACCATCTCCTGCAGATGTGAGGCACTGGGTTTTGCTGTCTTTGCAGGCACGGGTGGTTGAAAGGCGGGTATCACATGAGTCAAAACTGAACTGATTAGTTATGTCCCCATTATTCCAGATAACTTCATTTCTTTGAGAATTGTTTTACTTTGTTTCCTGCTAAGGACTGGAGAATAAAGTGTTTTGCTTAGATTTTTCCACAGTCCTGCCTGCTTGATGGCTGAGCAGACATTCAGGACCTCCCAGGAAGCTGCTACCCTTCTAAAATTTAGTTCAATGTGTCTCCCTGATTCAGCTTTCACACTTAAGACTTGCCTGACAGATTGTGCTTTGCCCAGGAGATCAGTAGCACTGGTTAGCTGTATGTTTTCAGGGATTCAGGATGAAGCTATCCCTCTAAATAGGCTCTGCAGTGTACATACTTGTCCCTGACATGTATTGGCAGTGATTATAGTAATTGATACCAGTGTAGTTACCTGCTCTGGCAGTGAAAGTTTTCACCTGTTATTGCTTAGCACAATGCTCCTTCTTTTTTGCATCTCCTGGATGCCTTTTTCAACCCCGCCAAGGACAAAGCCCCTTGCTTTCATGCTTGCATTTTGGCTTTTTAAACATTTTTCAATAGTATCCTTTGTACTTAGGCCAGTGTTTAGGAATTCATGCCATTATCCAGTCTTAGAAAGTACCAATGAATGAAATAGGAGGTTGATTACACCTGTCTCCCCTCATTCCACCAATTTGTTCATGGCATGAGAAGTGTTGTCCCGTGCTGCATCGTAAGCGCAATGTTCATCAGCTCCTCAGGTTTGCTCCAAACTCTGGAAGCTTGCCCAAAGGCAAGTAGTCTTTTTTCTCACTCATTATGGCCCCACAAAACAGACAAGATCACCATAGAGCATCTGAGAGGTTTCTGAACAACTGCTAATTCCTCTAGCACTAGCATCTAGTTCTGCCCTGCACACAAGTGAGGTTTAGTTTTCCTCCTCCTGTATTCAAAAACTAAAGGTGTGGTTCCTTTTTTTTTTTTAATTACACAAATAGTGACCTTTTAAGCTCTTTTTCAAGGCTTCTAACTTATATATGTACTCTTCTTTTTGAGATTGTGACCACTCTAAGAAAAAGTTATATTTAATTGGAATGAACATAAGGCAAAAAAAGCTTCTGTTCATCTTTCTCCATTAATTCATTCTGCATGAAAACAGTAACTCAATCCTGTGTACTGCAGTGTGGCCCATCTTTATTTTCTGTGTTAAACACCTCAATTCTCCCCCAGATTATAATTCTCTATTATGCTGATTTCTAACGACACTGACCATTTTAACTGAAATTCAGCTGCAGGCTGGGAAGACAGTGCTGTGTTGCAGAGCAAAGAGAGGTCTGCTGCCCACACAGAAGGCCAGGAGATGAACAGCAGCCCTGTCCATGCAGTAGATCACCTTGTGATTGTCAGTCCAAACAGGAGAAGAAGAGGACTCTGACATAGACAGGGTTAAACAAACCCTTCTTCCAAGGGAGGTCAGGCAGCACACAAAGCCTATGCTTCAGGGCAACTCAAATTAGAAGCACTGAACAACTTACCTGGGAAGAGTGGGTGCACTTCAACAGCAGTTCCAGTCAAGCTAAGTCTGAGCTACCTGAGCCTCCTGTTTCTTCCTGCACTGACCTCCTGCACCTGATTTGGTAACTGAGCAACTGTGTGATGCACTGGTTCAGGGAAATGAAGTCTTAACCTTTCTAAACACTGATCTGCCTTCGGCCAGGTCAGTCTCCTGATCCAGTCCATCATGCAGTCTGACAATGCTGATGTTTTTACCAGAAAGAGAGACAATTGGGGAAACATGCAGCTGCAGGTGGAGATAAAGGTGAGACAGCAGCAGCCCAAGCTTTAGTCAGCTTTAATTTCTGTGGAACCACACCTTTAGTCATTGGAGTGAACTCATACTGTTCCTTAGTGTTATCTTATATCGTTTTTAATAAAGACTTCTGTACATTTAGGTAGAACTTAGGGAAAAAAAAAAATGAAAGATCTCTCTTTTAGTGTCTTGGGATGATATCTGTCTCAAATAAAGAGCAAGAGTTAGCTGGGGAAAAGAAAAAAAAAAGAAAAATGAAGATCTAGAGAAACAAGGATAGATGTGTCATTTCTCTTGATTTTTTCTTTTCCATTCGTACAAATGATCCAGAAAAAGTCAATGTCTGGAAATTAAGTATATTTTAAGAGCTCTCCAAATATAGAATCAGAGATTGGTTTGAAAGAAGGTTACAAAGAAAATCAAGCTTTCATTTGTAGCTCACTGGGGCCTTGCTCTTTGAATCCAAGATGACTGCATCCACTCTCTTCTTCCTTCTGTGTCAGCCTTGCAGGCACTCGACTCTTGGAAGCAGGTAGATAGAGACTGTGACCATCAGCATTAGTTCCCTCAAAGACGTAACCAGGTGGGTGTTTGTAAGAGGCTAAGCATCTAACAAAGGCTTTTGGTGTGTAGCTGGTAGTGTAGATAGTTCTATCTTGTAGTGGAGTTTGATCCTTTGGGCCTGACCAGGCAGGTTTATAGCTCTTCGTAACTGTGGGCTGGTGAGGCACATAATGGGTCTGAAAGGTAGTCAAGCAATCCATGGGCTTTGCTGACAAAGTCATCTCAGGAGCATGAATGATAGGTTTTAATCTCTTGCACAGCCATGGCTTATAGTCTTCTTTCATTGTAGAAGAGCTATTGAATGGCCCAGTACTTTTAGTTATCTGGGCCACAGATTGACACATCTTGGCTGGCTTGCCATTTGGGTATCTGTAATGTATCTTAGTAGTGGTCTGAAGGTCCATTTTCTCAAGAGGAGGAAGATACGCAACAGGTTTTTTGGTGAATATGGGAGCCTGTGGCCAAGCTTGGTATTTTTCCTGAAACTCAGTTGTAGAGGAAAATGGAATATCATTGAGACACTTCAACTGGCATGGTTTTGCAAGTTTGGCTGGCTGACCAGCCATCGCCTTGTAAGAAACTTTGTGAGTAGTGAGGCCATCAAACGGGACCTCACTGGCCTTGTATTTCTCTTTTTTATGGACATAACGCTTCTCCGGAGGATGTGGCACATAATTTACTCTATAATTAGTTATATACTCAGAAGCCTTGGTTTTCTGGACTTGATTTGGAGGTTTGAAGTTTAGAGTGGCAACTGGCCCCCTGTAGATATAGTCATCCTGGAAAATGGTTCTGTGGTCAAATTTTTCTTGTGATGGGCGAAACCTGTCGTCAGGTCTGATCAGGTCTGTCTTTGGTTCATTCCATAGCACATAGTCATCTGAAATACAGGAATTGTAAGAGGACTTGTATCTAAATGCTCAGTTGAAGTTCTTTGGTGAGTTTAGGCTTATACCATGTTATGTTTTGATTGTTACATTTTCTACTGTAGTAAATACTTGTCAATGTTGTAATGAAAAACCCTATTAAAAGAGCTGCTACAGAACACCTTATAGGCTAATGTGCTAACCCCTGGAAATGCTTAGCATCTACACAAAGAATTGAATAAAAATAGTCCTGTACCACCCATACCTACAGAGATGGTGAAATACAATGTGGGAAGATTAAATTACATTCTCAGTCTTGCAAAGACTGCAGGTGACAGGTCGGGCACTGTCCTCATGCCCAGTCAACCAGAAATCATGAAAGTGGAGTATCATGGCACTGATTTTGACTCCCTTCATTCACCTTCTTGCAGTTATATTGTGGCTAGCTCAGAGCACAGGTAAAATCTGCCTGTGTCTGCAGAAGGCTGTTCAGGTGTCTCCCGCAGTATCTCTAGGGCAAGGAGATGTCCACCATTCCACTTTAAAGGCCAAGCTGCAGAGCTACTCTTCCTCTTTGTACCTTCTCATTTGCCTATGACCTATTCCTCAGCTACACAGATGTGATGCTGCCTACTGTTTGCCAAATTCAGGCTTTTGCAGCTCATGTTGGTGTCAACAAGCTGTGCTATGCGACATCTCCTCGACTCTTGGCTTTTCCCTCTGTGGCACGCCTGCTGTCAGGACAAGGAGGAACCAAAAGGAGCTTGTAACTCTGTCTCCAATTCTTCCTTATTTGAAAAACTGTGCTGGAATTTGCAGACCAAGCCTACGCTGATCTAAAGCAGTGAATCATACCACAGAGATGGTGCATACTTGCTATCCAAATTCATGACTAAGAAAACATTTTAGGCAGCATTTTAGAGACATTCATGTCTTCCTTGGCAGGACACAGGAAAAAAAATGAGGCACTGAGACTTTAAAATATTTGCATTCAGTCACGTTAAAAACCTACTGCAAAGCTGCAATAACTCTCTGACCAGTGCTGCAGCCACAAGACCATCGATTTTTCCCTTCCTAGTAACCTTGTGCAACTTCCCCTTAGAGACCACTATGGTTTCTGGTAGGAAGTTGAAATGAAATAGTCTTGGAGCTAACCCAAGTATTTATTTTATTTTTTTTAAATTTTCCCTTCTTTCAAACCACACTGGGAGTCATGAGGCAAATAAGCTTCCAGCTGACTCTGCAGAGGAAGGAAGTCTAGATTTCAAAGTGCTAGAGACTAAATGATGCAGTTAGGTATCAGGATATTTGAACTCTCCAATCCAAACATTCCTTTAGAATGGCAGTCATTATTGTAGTGCACTAACACAATCACACAAAGGATGTGCTCATTACAGTGTGAAGGTGACTAAAAAAAAGCGACTTTTTGCACCAATTAGGTGTCCATTTAGAGTCCCCTGGTTCAAATCAAGTTGCCTGCCCTGGCACAAGAGACGAAGCAGCAGCCACAGGTGCCATGTTTGTCACAAAGAGTGCCCTGGCCCTTGGGTACAGAGCTGCCACCATGCTGGTAATTCGCATTGTCAGCTGAGAACATGGGTCTGCCTGTGTGCACTGGCACAGACATTCATCTGCCACTGATGGTGCCACTGAAGCCCAGGCTGCATGCCCTGCTAGTGCAGAGGTGTTTAAATGCCCCACGCATCACCACACCAGTGGGACACTGACTTTGTGCCCATGCCTAGGATACATCATTCTCCTGAGGTCCAGCAGGGTGATCCACAAGCATACACGGACATGTGTCATTACAGACGATGTATGAATAAATGATTAAAAGTGAGAAGCTAATGAGATTCAGCCCATCCCTAAGCAAAGGCTTGTTCAGAGAGCTGACATTTCAGATGCCAACCAAGAGTAACCAAAAAACTTTTTAGGTTCTCCCATCATCTTTGCTGGAAAATAGTCTGTGCATTTTGGATGTAACCACAGCTTTTGCAAAATATTTAAAATATGACAAGTCCATCTGTCTTCAATTTTAAAAATTTACTAGCTCCACACATTTGGAGACCTCATAGGCATTATGAATTTATTTTACCTACTGTAAGCCAGCAGTGCTACTATTCCTTAAACATATGTTACAATTTTATTGTAATTCCAGTTCTTCTCCCATAGATATTAACAGTTTCCCAAGTAGCACAATCTTAAAAACATTAGGGGTACAAGAGGGAATGGAGGGTATGAACTATATATTATTGGAGGGTTAGGCACATCTCTTTGTAACCAAGTAAGACAAAACTAAAATTAGATTACGTACCTGTAGATGGATAGAAACAGCTATGTGTGTAGCTTGGAGGAGATAAGAATTTTGAAACCTTAAGTTGCAAAGTCATCTGACATTGTGATATGCAATAGCATTATCTTAAACCTATAGTGTCATTTGAGGTATGGTATGTTTAGCAGGAAGGAGTATAACAATACAGTAGCAAAGGTAATTTAGTACCAATGCAGCACTGTTTAATATGCTGCTTAAATATATGAGTTATGATAATTAGTTGAATAGCATGTTTCAAAATTTCACACTTGAGTAATAATCAGTAAACCTAATAGAGAACAGCCCTATGAAAAATTGTATATTTGGTGAACCTGGGCCTTTAAAGGGGAATTCTTTCAGTATGCAATTTGATCTTTGAGAGGGTTTGGACAAAGATTTCCATTTGCAGTGTTTTGAAAAATACTGCAAATTATAACCAAATGTGGCTGTGATACATTTTATTAGAGTTCTGCAGTAACATTTACGGTGCTGACCTAAACACTGATAAAAGAGAAAGACATACATCTGGTTCAGATAGAGAGAAGTCAAGGATATCTAAACACAGAAGGAAAGATCCTCTGCTTGAGGAAAGCAGCTTCTTTTTATTGGCTTCACTGAAGCTATTCCAATGAATACCATCTGGCAACACTGCCTGTGCAAAACACTGTTCAAAATCATGTAAACGTGGGTATTTTGCACGTGTGGGTCATAGTCCTCATGACTCAAGTAATTCTAAATGGATAGTATTTCCTGTGTGCTTAATATAAACATTCCAGTTTATGCTGTTGAAAACATGCAGCAGCACTCAAGTCTGATTTTCAGTCATTTCAGCTGGCCCAGTCTTAACACTGGATTCACACTTTTTATTTCTTTAATTCCTGCATTATTTTGAGTTTTAAGAAAAAAAAGTGTTTCTGACCATTGAGACAAATCTCAGTGCCAGCACCAATCATAAGCTTTTATATTTGCACAGCATAATAAAACCCAATAATTTAAAATTATTTTAAGAAATACACAAATGCTATCTGCCTACCAGATAGATAGCGGGAAGGTGTGCAGAGGGGATGCAAAGTCCTCTGATTTTCTACTTAGGACTTACTACCAAAACTAGCACAGTTGCTCGTATAACAGTGTAACTGAAAATCTTCTCCCAGTGCACACAGAAGAGAGCCTTGGAGAGAGGAAGGAACAAAGCCCTCACAAGGGCAAACCAGCTACACCAAGTTGCTGCTACTGAGAAACAGTGGCACAGTTGGATGCACTGTTAAGCTGTTTTAACAGGAGCAGAGCTTGAGTGCTTTGGAAATTTGTGTGGAACTTCTGTATGTCTATAATTCCCGTATACGTCTTGCACATCCACAGATTAACTTTGTAGCACACACAAAAAGAGTGCCATACTTCATGACCTGCTCAGATCTAGCAAATTCTACATATTTTATATGTGGCTGATCCACTGACTGTGTGGACCAGCCCTGCAGTATACCAAGAGAATGTACAGTGTATCCTAAAGATGATGTTGCTGGACCCACTTGTGGGAGTTCATATGGCTCTCCTTCTACTTAGGATGTCTGTACATATGTCAGACATGCAAAGACATTCAAAAAGACATGTGAATTCAGAGAGATCCCAATGCTACCATTAATACAGGCTTATATTCCCAGCAATTTGTGCCTGTGAGGTTCCTGAGCAGCCTGTTGGCATACATAGACAGAAGGAGTAACAACTGCATGCTGTTTTAATCTGTCCTCTTCAAAAATGAAGCTATGGTAAAGTCCTGAAAGGAACTGCAAGGGCACATACCTTCATAAGTGGTTCTTGTATTCACCTTGACATTGGGTATGTGTTTCATCTCACAGGGGAGGCATGGAGGTACTTGAGAGATAGGGTAGGAGTTATAATCTTGTTTATAAGTGGTGGTGCAATCCATAGTCTCATCACTCCTGACATGCTTTCGAGGTGATTTAAGTTTCAGTTGTGACACTTCATGAGCTATGTAATCTCTCCTGTGAAGAGTAATTTTATTACATCCTTTGTCTTAAGGAAAAAAAAATACATTTCTATTTCTGGACACATGAAGAAATTAATACTTCCTCTTATCTCCACCGCCTAAGAAAGTCAGGATAGGAATCAAGCAGTGAATGAAACACACAATCCTTTCACAGTTGGAAGCCTGGACTCTGAGAAAAGAAGTGAGGCAGCTCTGGACAACCTCAGGCAGCCCAGGTTCTCCCTTCTTCCCATCCAGTGAGGTTAAAGGCCTTACACAGAGCTATCTCTGTTCTACTGTGGAGTTACACCAGAAGTTACAACTCCTTTTAAAAGCTCAGTAATTATAGCAGGCTATCTAGTATGTATGGGAAATATGTGAGAGAGGCAACAATAGCCTTTACAGATATACTATGTACAATGGTTCAGGCCAGGATGGGGAGGTAACAGCAAAACAGTTTTACAGTAAAATACCAGTTAAGGAAAAAAACAACAGCATGGTCAGACAGCCAGCTTTTTCTTAGGTAGCACTATAAGATATTAGAGTAGTGTCACTTAACTTCAACAAAACATTACAGAAACACTGCAGAGAAGAAAATAACATCACCATACAACATTCACTAACCTGAATCTATTTCGCTGCCCGTATCCTTTGGTATAGGGCAGAGAATATGCCGCCTGGCACCAGCAAATTCAGTCTCTAATGTCAGAGTACTTTTCCACTGGTGTGCAGATCTGTTTACACCATTGGCAGCTGACCAGGAGAAATGGTCAGTATATGAGCTATTCTAATATTAATATTGGACTTTGCATCTGGAGTGATGCTGGGCAGGCAAGAGCCCAAGCCTCTGAAAATACTGTGTATTAGTTACGTATTTTAGCAAATAAACAAGGTTCTCAAAAGTCTGTGTGGAGCAGAATAGAGCAGAATTCACATTGTAAAGTATTAGGTATAGGTGTGAAAACAGAAATGCAGAAGTAAAAAAAAATATATATATACAAGAGCATCAAGAGTATTTATGTAGATTTCACACTTGTTGCAGCCCCTTGGCATACTTTTGTCAGCAATTTAAAGCCAATGTACTTTTTAAGAGGGGCCAAGAAAAGACAGGAATATAAGGCATCTCACATCCTCAGTAGCAGGAGGGCTCAGTAACAGAGAGGTTCTTTCCCAAGCCATTCGCAGTACATTGCACAATCCCGTGTTTGAAACACCTGAGCCTGTACTAGAGGCAAGTGACAAGTAACACGCATGCAATTCTTCACCACATGATCAAGAGTTTTCTGGCAGTAAGCACCTTTTCTCACACTGACTATTGTGAATCAAAAGAAGTGTTGTTAGAAACAGTGAAGTGTTATTAGAAAAGACTGGTGACAACTCAGTGTTTGCTGGCCCCACAGTTCTGCAGTTATTCTCATATACTCCATCAATTCATTCTCTCTGAGTTTAGCCACATAGAACCAGAGCATTTAGCAGCCTTGTAATAGGAGGTGGCACTTTTCTACTAGGCCTTGGTACTTTCACTCTTGGTGTGTTTTCTTACCACCATTGCCCAGAGGGCAGAAAAACCTGAAATATGATGGCTAACTGTTCAGGTTCTGTGTTTTCTCCTCTTACAAGGGTAGGTAAGTTTTACACCTGGTAGAGCGCATGCTCTGAAGAAGCACGCGTAAGTAGTTTCTGCGCTTTCTTACTAGTCTGCTTTTTAGAAGTTGTACTGAACTCCAGGACTAACAGTTACTGTTTGTCTGAGCAAGGAGAGTTTTGCTGATTGAACTGGAAGTTTCCAAGGACTCCTTGACAGACCCCACATTGCCGCTGCCCTCCTCTCCTATCTTAAGAGGACACCAATGTCCCCAGGATTTAATTATAAGCAGACACAAAGATGTCTAGCTGCTTTGGTTCATACTGGAGATGGAAGGCATATACAGAAGTGAAGTCTGCTCTTTGAAACTCTCTGATCTTTTTGGTGTTTGCTGAAAGCTCCCACATAGCCAGGTACATTCCAAATGTGAGTAAATTGGGCATTTCAGACTTCACCAGCCATGTTTAAATTGACAGCTCTTTAAAAAGGCAGAGGGGCAATGCAGAGCTTCCATGTCAGGATGGATAATGAGGGAGCTTGCAGAAGTGCTCACCTAGCCACTTTCAGTCTTCGATGTCATCTACTTAGACTTTGGTAAAGCCTTTGATGTCATTTCCCACAGCATTCTCCTGGAGCAACTGGCTGCTCATGGCTTGGATGGGTGTATTGGTGTTGGGTAAAAAACTGTCTGCATGGCTGAGCCCAAAGAATGGTCATGAATGGAATTATACCCAGTTGCCAGCCAGTCACAAGAGGTGTTCCCCAGGGCTCAGTTCTGATTAATATTTATATCAATGATCTGGATGAGGGGATTGAGTGCACCATCAGGAATTTTACAGATCACACCAAGTTGGCTGGAGTGTTGATCTACTAGAGGGTAGGAAGGCTCTGCAGAGGGGTCTGGACAGGCTGGATCAATGGGCTGTGGCCAATGGTATAAGGTTCAATAAGGCAAAGTGCCGGGTCCTGCATTTGGTCCACAACAACCCCATGCAACAGTACAGGCTGGGTGAAGAGTGGCTGGAAAGCTGCTCGAAGGAGAAGGACCTGGGGTGCTGATTGGTGGAGCTGGACGTGAGCCAGCTTGCACCCAGGCAGCCAAGAAGGCCAACAGCATCCTGTCCTGTGTCAGAAACAGCGCAGCCAGCAGGGCCAGGGCAGTGATCATCCCCCTGTACTCAGCACTGGTGAGGCCACACCTCAAATCCTCTGTGCAGCTCTGGGCCCATCACTACAAGACAAAATATGGAGGTGCTGGAGTGTGACTAAAGGAGAACAACCAAGCTGGTGAAAGGTCTAGAGAACAAGTCCTGTGAGGAGTGGCTGAAAGAACTGGGGTTGTTTAGTCTAGAAAAAAGGAGGCTGAGGTGAGACCTTACCACTCTCTACAACTATCTGAAAGGAAGTTGTCACAAGGTGGGTGTTGGTCTCTTCTCCCAAGTAACAAGTGACAGGATGAGAAGATATAGCCTCAAGTTGAGCCAGGGGAAGTTCAAACTGAATATTAGGAAAAATTTTTCCACTGAAAGGGTTGTCAAGCATTGGAACAGGCTGTCCAGGGAAATGACTGAGAGACCATCTTTGGAGGTATTTAAAAGACGTGTAGATGTGGCACTTAGGGATGTGGTTTAGTGGTAGGCTCGGCAGTGTCAGGTAAACAGTTGGACTCAATGATCTGAAAGGGTTTTTTCCAACCTAATTGATTCTATAATTCTGTGAGGACAAATGAATGGTGTTAGCTGTTAAGACTTTATTAATAGCCATTGGCGTTTCCTAGGCCTCTAATTCAGTTCAGCAAAGGCAAGAGTGAGTTGCTCTTGACTGTGCCTGTGATGACAAAGGAAGTACACATCTAGATGAGGCAGCAGCTGCTGTTTGGGAAAGAGAAGCTCTCAGATTCATATTAATGGATCAGATTCCTATTTTTTATGAGTTCCTTCTGTGGACAAGTGCTTGGCACATCACCCTGCCAGTAGCAAAGAAGAGTCTCAGAAGTTACTTCCATAAGGGAAATCGTCACAGTGCAAGTGTGAGGATTGCTGCTAAACCCCAACACAGAGCAACACAGCTGAGAAGCAGAAACAGTTCAGCAATCCACAATGACCGCCTTGAGGAAAACACACATACTCCTTGCAATCATCCTGTTCTACCCTATTTACACCTCCTTGGAAATCAGTCACGCATGTTACAGTGTACAAAGTGCCACATAAAACACAACAAAAGAAAAACACTCTTCATATAAAATCCATACTTTCCCAGATAACATTTCTGCTGGTTTCCCAAACCAAAACAGAAAATCAGCAAAAGCCAAGACCATGACTGTGCTTCTGTGGCCCATGTATCCTCTGATCATATCACATCTCAGCCTCCAAAAGTGCAAAAAAAAATAGCTGCTTGCCTCCATACAAAAGTGACCTCAGATAGATTTTCATCCCTCCTTCAGAGAGCCCTCATGAGGGTTTGTACAACTGTAACACTGGTTTTTTCAGCCTCCTCTTGTGAAAACCAATGATTTTTCTTTTCTCTATTACTCATCCCTCTCACACACATTATCTAAGTCACTGTCTTTCACTCTTTTTCATACTTTGTAGTTGAGGTGCCTTCCATGTGTACGTCTGCCACCTTGTACACTGTTTTTGGCTTAAACGAGTCTTCAGGAGCAGTGATGGGATGAAGGGGGTATTGCTCCTTGTACTCTGACAGCATGCATGGCTTCTCAGTTTTGTCATAGGGCCTGGAGGGCAGGTGTGGACAATGATGACATCTGCAAGGGAAAAAACCAGCACAGGAGTTAGTGGTCACAGGTAGCTGCTTAATAATACCTCATTGCATAAATTGGTTGCAGACTGCAAGTGGATAAATGGGCATTGCAATGATTGCTGTAGCCTTAAGTAATTAAAGTGCAAAAGTATAACCTGCACAACAGCCTGAAGTCAAAAAAGTTCATGAACAAGAAAAAAGAAAAGCAAGTTCACCTAGATGAAGAAAAAAGCAAGTTAATTAAAGATACAGACAAGCGTGCCATATAGTGCTGGACTAGAAACTCCAATGTCCCTTTTGTTCCATTTCTCATAAATTTACTATCCTACTTTGCCCACATACTGATCTTACTTGAGTAGGTAAGTGAGCTAAAGGGTACTAGTCTGCGAGTCTCTATTCACTCATGCCTGGGCAGCACTGCTCTGCCCATCTCTCTTTCTGAAAGCAATGTAGTCTGGGTACTGCAAGACCTCTCCATAATATGCACCAAAACAAGGACAATGAAAACAAACTGATTTTCTGAGGAAGCTCCCTTCTGACCAAAACTAAACTAAGACCACAGATCATCTATCGTCAGTGACTTCCTTCTTCCCACACTGGGGCCAGGCCAGAGCAGGATGGGTGAGGCTCATTCTGTCAAAGAGAGGTTTGGGATTCCACCCTCAGGTTTCTTTCCAGAAACATCACAGTTTATGTCCCCTTCTGGTTTAAGTCAAACCCACTAAAGTCAATGCGAAAGTTGCTGATTAATGACTTCAGGAACCACCCCACAGGAATTACAGTGAGAGGAGGAGGCCTCTGGTTTTATGTCTCATACATCATTCCTGCCAAAGTGAGAGTGTTCCCTACTGGATGTATGTTTTCCAGTGCTACATCTAGTCCAGATACGAATTACTCATTTAAAAGAGCTTCTATAGTTTGCATTAATCCATTAAAGTAAATGTTGAGCAATCTAGGATCAGCAGATGTCTGATTACCTGAATTTATACAGATAAACTCCAGTCTACATTGAAGAGCACACTTCCATATAATGAATCATTTTCCAAACTAGCATAAGAAGATAAGAGAAGATACAGAGGGCTCAAGTAAAATGGGCAGCCAGTCATTTTTCACTGTTGATAGCTGAGCTTACATATTTCCAGAGTTTAAAATAAGAACACAGTCAGCCCTTTTGGGGAGAGATTAAACGGTATATACCAAGTCTGTAATACATTAGGTAAGCAATCAGCTGGCAGGTTGTGCTCAAAGAGTTACAGTAAACGGGATCACATCAGGCTGGTGGCCATTCATCAGTGGGGTTCCCCAGGGCTCAATTGCATGTGCTCTTTCATGTTTTGATAAATGATCTAGACACAAGAGTTGAATGCACATTAAGTAAGTTTGCCGATGACCCTAAACTAGAGGAGCTGTGGACTCCACTGAGGGCAGAGAGGCTTTAAAGAGAGATCTGGATAGACTAGAGAGCTGGGAAATCACCAGCTGTGTGAAATTTAACAAGTGCAAGTGCAGGATTCTTCACATGGAACGGGGTAATCCTCATAATACACACAAACTGGGGAACAAGAGGATGGAGAGCAGCCCTGCAGAAATGAGGAGCTGTTCCTCTGCAGGCAATAGATTTAAACTGGTGTATAACAGGAGTACTTGAGAGGGAAGTAAGTCTTGTGTTCTTTTAACAGCACCTGAGCCTGGTGTCATAGCAAAAATGAAGGTGTTTCCAAAAGCATGTTTTCACCAACTCCTCCAGCTTTCAGGAAACATGAGTGCTGATAAAACTTCACCAGAAGGTCTCCAACATCTCCTTCTGTGATTTATGTCATTTCTAATACACTCTGCATAATGCAAGCCAAGAAATAAAAGGATGGGAGGAGTATTTATAAACAACTCCCTCACTCCTACATTGTCACTCCCCATGCAAAGGGAAAGGCAGTTTTCCACTCCTCCTACTTTTGTATTATATTTGCAGTCTGAAATGCTGTGGAAAAGTCTAGTTAGTAACATGGCAATACAGTTGGACAATATAAACAGCACAGAAATATCATAAGCTACTGTAGGAGTCCATCTAGCTTAGAGAATTGCAGGCAAATTTTGGCTTACTGTTAAAAGAGACAGTCACGCTGCTTTAGCAGGAAGGAAGTTCTTCAGCCATAAAAAAAACTTTTGATGGGAAAAAAAGTCAAATGGAGTAAGTAATGCATTAGGAGGAATTAAGTTTCCTGTTGAACTGTTCTCTGTAAAAAAGAATTCCAGCCATGAGGAGGCTGTCAGAAATCCTGAAATTCTTGACAGTTTTCCATTTCTGGAAATGGAAAAATGTACAGCAAGTCTTTTTTCACTGTTGATAGGTGGGTTTCCATATTTCCAGAGTTATAAAACAAGAACACAATCAGCCTTTCTGGGGAGAGATTAAACAGTAGGAAACATGAAGGTGCTTTTCTCTAGGGTTTTTACATTTTGAAGAAGTAGGCTGTGAGCACATAAATAATTCGTGAGCACAGTAAGGACCTCCTCCAGGCCGTTTGACAGCCAGCTAAGATGTCAGAAGCTACACCTTTTTCATCAACCTTGAAAACACAGTTCCTGAAGGTTTCACATCAGAAAAGTCTCTGCAGGAGTCAGGCGTGTGGAGAGAAAAAAGCTACAAGCAGAGAGCAGATGCTCTCAGATGTATAAAGAGATGAGAGAAAGATGCTGGTAGCTGGAGGCACCAAAGAGGAACACCTGAAACCAGAGGTAAAAATGTGCTTAGAGGGAGGCCAGGGAGAAACTACATAGGAAGACAATAAAAGTACCACCTGGCCTTAGACAAGACGACAGACAGTGTAGAGGGGTATCAAAGGATTAGAGGGAATTACAAAAAGCCATCACAGGTAAAAGGATACCCAGGACTTAAGTGGGAAGGCAGAAGCATGAGAGAAGGGAGAAGTGTTGTCAAAGTGCTAAGAAGAACAGCCACTTTGGAAATCTGGATTTTGCCTTTAGTGATCAATTTAGTTATATAATTAGGCAACTTGTACTAGTTGTAGAATAATCTGGCAAAATATACACTGTGTCTTTGGCATGTTAAAGCCCCCTTATACTACTGCATTATCTTACAGGTACAGAAACTAATGACAACTCCCTTCCAGAGGTACTCAATCCCTTTAAAAACCCAGTATGACAGATTGGAAGTTCATCTCTACTCAGCCTTCTATGCTAAGTAATGTGCATAAGATTTATGATAAAAATATTCGTGAATGTTCAAAATGTGACATCTTTCATTCCTGGATTTTGTGTTGTGCAAAAATGGTCATCAGACAAACCGAAAGCCCCACTAGTGGTGTCTTTCGGGAATGCAAGTGCAAATCTTAAGCTAACTGAATGTAGTGAATGAATGAACTTCTGCCACCTTGCATACTGAAAGAACTATTTTGATAATGACATTGTGATTATTTTTTCATAAATACGCCTGGAAACGCTGCTCAGATGATGGAATTTGAAGTTTCCTGGTGTAATATTCCTTTTAAGCACTACAAATAATACTTTGATCTTACTACAATAATGGAACCAAAGGTGCAAAATGAACCATTCAAAAGCAAGGAAACACTGTAATTGCCATTGCCTGTAGGAGATGAGTCTGGCCTTCTTGACGATGTGGCGTATGGTATAGTTTAGCTTACAAAATCAAACATCAAACTTTCCACAGGTAAAGTGCTCTCTTGAGAGCCACAATTTCAAAGAATTTCTTATCTATTACTTTTGCTTGTTTGTTTTGGAACTGTTAGCATGTTTTGCTGTAAACAGGTCATTAAAAACAACACACACACATCACTGTTAAGGATGTGCATTAGTAATCAGCACATGGAAGTGGCAACAGCACGTAATATTTAGACTGTGACATCTTGGACTCAGTCTGTAGTTTGTCTCTGTTAGCTGACAACTGGGTTTGAGCAAGCCAAAGTGAGCTTAGACCAACTAACCTCTTCTTATGTGTCTGTCCATGTCTGTTTGGCATTAAGTTTTATCAAGCTATGGTGCAATGGATCACACTGGCTGGATACAGTGGTTTAATTCTTATCTAAGAAAATCGCCTGCATTTTCGTCTCTTAATATTCTTCAGAAGAAGTTTTATATTAATTTTGAAATTATTCTGCAATATTTGAATGCACTGAAAATCCAAAAATCATAAATTTATCTAACTGATATTTTGTGCTTGTTAACATGCTGAACATTTATTATGGTGAATATTAATTTACAGCTACAGAATAAAAAACATCTTTGACTAACATAGCTTCGTTTTTATTAAAAATACCACAGAACATGTGCAAGAGCTGCTGACTCCACATCTTTAATGTTTACATAGGCTTTTCACTGAAAACAAGATGTTCTTCTGCATCATGCAGTAACAGTTCCAGCCCTTTCTCCACTTTTGCTGTCTGTCACAGAAAACACACATTCACATTTAACTGAAGTTTATTTCCAGGAAAACTAATTCTAGGAAAAGAACTAAACATATTCCTGAACTGAAAAGCAATATGCAAAAATGCAAATTTATTTAAACAACAGGTCTACCTGCTTTGATTTTTTTTCTTCCAAAATAAATGCTCTTGAATGACTGTCAAGTGAAAGCACATCACTGAACAATGGCCAGGACTAGCAGAGGACTTTTAGGCCAGCAGCCAGACAGACCTAGAAAGCCACAAAACTGCTTGACATGCAATGCCTTGCAACACCCATATCCTCACTGTGAACTGTGGTAAACTATTAGGTTCAAAGTATTTAGCACAGTATCTCCACGTTTATCTAACAGTAAGCAGTGGAAATACTTGCAACTAACATCAGCCTGCTGCCATCTTCTGGTAAAAAGTTCAGGATATAAAACAACCACAAAACAATCAGTTCTTGCTTGCTGCCATTATCTTGGCCTTCTATTTCACAGTAAGGAAAAGTGACATTGCTTGTGCAGTAATATTACACAGGCAGACACCAGTAGCTTAAAGTTCCCATAGGGAGTAAGGATCCTTTTCACAAATCCATTTCACTGGACAGTGACTGTCAGAGGAACAAAGTGGCTTCAGCATTAAGTAGTAGCTGTTATTTTACTTAGAAAAATACACCAATAAAGCAGCAATAATAAAATATACTTTAGAAGCCATCTATTTGAATGCATTGTAAATATGAGAAGCAAAACACGTGTAAAGCCAGGAAAGGCAGAATTCAGTAGTAAACAGACAAAACATCGTTACTTTAACCAAGCCAGAACTGCAAGAGCATAAACAGATGCCACTCCACTAACTTCTCCTACCAGTTAGTCTTGACTTTTGCCTGTTCTTTGCACTAAGCATATGTATCTGGGAAATGCTTCTCATGGAGTGGTAAGCCCTGGAACATGAGAAACCAGCACATGACAATTCCAAGGGGAGATTTACATGCCCAAGTCACTTATTCCCATATTCACAATGAAAAGCTGCAGATTCTTCACTGTAACATATCCAAACTAATGGCAAGGCGAAGGAATACAGATGAGAACATTATTGCAAGTACACTGTGGTATTAGTTTTGATGCTTAGAATATCCTGCAGAAAATGACAGCAATTTGCAATCCTTAAACTCATTTAATGAATCATAACTAGTTCTTGATGAATTGAAGTTCCTTGAAACATGAAAAATTACTACCAAGAGCCCTTGAAGTCTCTCTTTTGACTAGTTAATGTAAAGTATACTTTAAAAGTTTGCTGTGCTCAATAGGACAGAAATCTAGAAAATACTTCTGAATCTTGCTTTTGATTCCCACTCACCCCCTACAATCATTTGAACATTATATAGACTGAATGTTGGAGTCAATACCATATATACAGTGGAAATAGATCAACTTACACCAGCACTGTAAAGACCTAACGCAGTAATGCCATCTAATGACCAGATGCCACAATATCTTCCTGCATTTTGAAGATGGTATCAGTCTGAACACTGCATTTACCTAACTGAAAGTATTCCATATAAAACCCCCCACATTTTCTATGAATAATGTATGGAAAGGGTATAGAAAAAGAAGCATTACAAAATTGTCCTGAAAAAAACATAGGACCTCTGTTCCTGCAATGCTCAAAACCTGTAATGTCTATAAACAGGGTTTAATTCTATTGCACTTTACTCATTCATAGTAATAAAGGATTGAACTGGTAATAGGTAATAGGTAGTAATGTGGGAAAGTAATAGGTAGGAAATTACCAGTTACTATCAGAAGGACTGCCAGAACAGAAATCAAAAAATTCAGAGTCTCCAGCATAAGCCCTGCATTTATGTATTTGTTTTTAAAATCAATGTTTGTTCTGTAGGAATAAAGAAAAATTTCCGTTAGGGTTATAAGATCTGTTTTACTTGAATTGAATCCAACTCTGGCCTTTACTAAAGCTCTGTCAAGACATGCATTTGCCAGTTCATTAAAAAACTATTTCCAATACAGCAGAAATGACAAAGCCTTAAGTATCTTTTCTATCTGCTAAAAGAAATCCCACACAGATTTTTAGAAGTCGGTTTTAACTTAAAGCCAGAATTTCATTAAAACTAATAAAAGAAACAGAAGTCCATGGAAAGAATCCCACTCAGTTCTTGCTCAGTTTTTCTTGAGTTTTTCAATGTTTGGTCTACATGAAAACTATCACTCTAGACTAGATGTCCTTGTGAAAATGATATCATAAACTGCTGAAAAGTGATCCCACAAGTGCTGAGTAGGACTTCCCATCTCAGGAGACTTGCACAGTTTGACATTTCCAGGCTGTTATATTTCCACCCTTCTAACAAAGTTGCTGAAGTTCCAGTGCTTTCCATAGGGATGCACTTCATTTACAAAACCTGTGTTTTAAAGATGGATCCATTCTACCAGACAGTCTTTCAAGCTTATGAACCAGTTCTGAGGCAAAAGAAACTTACTAACTCCCACCAGAACCACTTGTAGCTGCAGCCACTCAGCACCAAGTGTTTGTGCTGGTTTTGGCTGGGATAAGAGTTAACTTTCTTCATAGTAGCTGGCATGGACTATGTTTTGGATTTGTGCTGCAAACAGTGTTGATAACGCAGGGATGTTTTAGTTATTGCTGAGGCCTTTTGTACTCCTCACACCACCCCACCAGCAAGCAGGCTGAGGGTGCCAGCAGAGTTGGGAAGGGACACAGCCAGACAGCTGACCCCAACTGGCCAGAGGGATATCCCAGACCATATGGCATCATGCTCAGCAATAAAAGTAGGGAGAAGGTTGATCAGAGGACCACTGCTTGGGGACTAGCTGGGCATTGGTCAGCTGATGGTGAGCAATTGTCTTCATCTGCATCACCTGTTTTTCTTGGGGTTTATTTCTGTTATTTTCCTTTTCAGTTAAAAAAAAAAAATCAATTATTAAACTGCTCTTATCTCAACACACAAGTTTTCTCAATTTTACTCTTTCAATTCTCTTCCCGTGTCCTGGTTTCAGCTTGCATAGAGTTAATTTTCTTCCTAGTAGCTGGTGCAGTGCTGTGTTTTGGTTTTAGTCTGAGAACAATGCTGGTAACACACCGATGTTTTAGCTGTTGTCAGTAGCGCTTAAAAGTCCTGATCAAGGACTTTTCAGTCCCCCATGCTCTGCCAGTGAGGAGGTGCACAAGAAGCCGGGAGGAAACAGAGACAGGACAACTGGTGAGCAATTGTATTGTACATCACTTATCTTTCTTGGGCTTATTCCTCTGTCTCTTTTCCTATTATTATTATCATTATATTTTACTTTATTTCCATTATTAAATTGTTCTTTTCTCAACCCACAGTTTCTATCTTTTTCCAGTTCTTCTCCCTATCCAGGAAGGGGGGGGGACCAGATGAACAAGAAGCTGTATGGAGCTTAGTTGCCAGCAGGGGTTAAACTATGACAGCATTTTATTTCATTTTACCATTGAGAAATCCTCACGAGAAATACAACAAGTAACAAGAAAAACCCTTTTCAAACATCTTCAGAAAGGGACTTCAGGATATCAAGATGAATATAAGCAGAACAAGCCACAGTGTAAACAGGCCCACTTTAAAAAAATAATTAAGTAAAAAGAGAAAGTTACACTCCAGCAGCCAACTCCCTCTTTAAACAAAAACTGACAAGAGAAGAACATAAAGATCCCCTTGCCCTGGGAGATGGCATCACTCAGCAACATGACATCATCTCCATCGGTGAAAAGTGCACCCAGGTTTCCATGACTGCTATTCCTATGTGCAAGCTACTAAAAGGCATGCAGCTGGAAGAGACAGTCAGACTGCTGGAAAAGTACATAAATGAGTGGCTACAGATTAGATCCACCTCTTGGGATGACTCCGCCTATGTCTAAATGTACCAGAAATTGCTGTCAGTCAGTGTCACACAGAAACACCATCAGATGTGATGTATGAAGGGACTTGCTGTTCATTAAGTCTTGTAATTGAGACCATTTCTCCCGTTACTTGCAGAAATCCACTGACAGAACTGTATTTGCAGTTTTCAATGTTCAGTGAACTAGTGACTGACAATTATATGTTCTTTTAGCTTTACTGTTCAATAAAAATGGAATCGTAGAACCATAGAATGGTTAGGGTTGGAAAGGACCTCAAGATCATTTAGTTCCAACCCCCCACAGACCTCACACTAGACCATGTTGCCCAAGGCTCTGTCCAACCTGGCCTTGAACACTGCCAGACTGTTCAGTACAGACAGAACATATACGGGACAGACTGCAAACAGTTACATGTTATCATCCAAAAGTTACAGCAATCTGCTTTGTTATAGCTACATATTATTTGATATGCTACAACCAGACATTTTACTATTTGATATTATACTTGGGGAAGGATATTCCAAACATGTCATCATACCTTTATGAGCAATGCATATATGCTTTGCTAAAAAGAGAGCATTAGTATGACCTTAAAAAAAAAAAACCAAATAGTTTGTAAACCTGTCCTTTTGAAACTCAGCTGGTAACGACGAGCAAGCCTAAACTGTGAACTCTGACTGCTCCGTATGCTGCGCTAAGTTATGGCATATTCTCCTCTAGACATGAAAGTGAGGTATTTGCACTGTGTACTTCAGCTAATGACAATCCAGCACATCTAACTTCAGAAGCCCAAAAATTCCTTATACTTAGGATGTTGAAGAATCTCCTAATTAGGAAGTTAATGAGAAAATCGATTTCCCAAGCTTAACAGTCAAGTACTTCTGAATGGTATTTCAGGATAGGTATCTTAAGACACTTAACATTGTACAGTATGAATACTGTATTCTTCTGCAGCAAATGTCTAGTTTTAAAGAAGTCACACGAATACGTACAAAGTTGTATTCATAGCTGCTGGTAAGCAGCTCCCTAAGCATAACTCACTGCTCTACAGGAAACGGATTTTATCCTGAAGTTCAGCACAATTATGATGGCCTTCTAATATAAGCGTAACCAAAACTTCCTAAGTATCTGCCATAACCAGTGGACACGTGAGCTACTACTTATAAGACAAAAGCCATAGTGTTGCACTAAATCTGCAAGCAGTAAAGATCCCTAAAGTACACAGGTATATCATTTCTGCTTTTACATATATCACATAGAATTTGAGGCCAGGTCTTTAGAGGAAACTCAAAATTCTTAGCTGTCACTTCTTAATCCAGATCTCTCAATGCAGTAGCAACACAAGAACCACTCAGTTGGATAGGCAGAACTGGTGAAAAAATAATCCTTGTTTTAAAGCTTTAAAAATACTCAGAGATACATTTCTAATTTTTCATATGCAAAATATAGCAGAAAATAGCAGTGTGGCCCCCAAAAGCAGTGTAGCTTGCTAGTCAGGTAACCACTACTCCAAGCTCCTTCCCTCAGCCTCTGCTACATACCCACAGGAGCACAGCTGACAGACGCACTTCTTCAAGGGTGGAACTACATGCAAAGGCTCAGCTGATTCAGGAGACATGGTCTATAGCAGAACAAAAAGCCCCAAACAAACAAAGAAAAAAAACCCGCCACTCCGCAGCAGCAGCTCCTGAAAATAATTACGTCATTAAGATGATCTAGGAACCTCCATAAGCAGGGACGCAGCATAAGACACTACTACAGCCTGCACTACATGTTGCAGCTGACTAGCTCCTTCCCTTGGGCAGGATGCCCAGGTTCCTCTGGTGGCATCACAACCAGAGTTCTGGAGTTCTGCTTTCAAGCCTCATCTGACCAGAGAATGGAAGCCTTGACTGCTGCCACTTGGGTAACCTTTTGTGAAGTCACCAGACTAGAGCCCAGGTCTGCAAGGAACTCAGCTGGGCCTGTTCCAGACAGCTGATATACCTAAGGTCAGATCTTCCAATTCCCTAGGTGTTTGATCACGATAAGATCAACCTGTAAACAGGCTATTATGAAGCACTTCCCTCTCAGCTGTTAACATGTTAGCAGCCACATTACAGGTTCAGTGACATAAATATCTTTTCATAAAGCTTGTCAAATTCTGCTTTATAAAGAAGATGTCAAATACAGATGGAGATTCTTCCTAAAACCTATTTGCAACTGTTTTGGAAGAAAGGAAGAGAAAGATATACCAGAACAGAACACCAATTTTAGTTAGCAATGCCTCCAAACTCTGTAAAACAAACATCATGTTAGAGGCCAGTGTCACCTAACCAATAAATTGAGGCTACATGAAATCTGCTGTTGAAACTCAAAACTCCACCAACATCAGCTACAGATTCAGGACATCACATGGATTCATCATCACACTGCTGATTCTTAAAGTTTATGGCCAATGATCCAAAACACACAATTATTGAATAAAGGGAGGGATCTCAACTTTGAGGAGTTATGCTGGATGGCATCCCAACCCAAGGGGAGAGTCTCTGACTGCATGCCTGCTGGTCTGAGGACGACTGATGTCAAATGGCTCTCTGGCAGGACTCCATTTATACCCTAGTCAAATCTGATCTGTGGTCAGACACGGTCATGTAGTACCCACTGGCTCAGGACCCCAACATCCCTGCCCCTGTCCCTGCTGACCACCACCACGAGTGGGACAAGAGCTGCGCATGCATGGAGTTTTCCCAGGCTTTTGCATGTGGAGGGAAGCTTTCACAGGGAAGCTTTTGTCAGGACTTTGTCAGTGTGGGTGTAGCTGCCACACAATCCAACCCGTGACCACAGTCATGATTCATCTGGTTCCCTTGGAGTGGGGGTACAGGCACATCTTGCCTCCAAACTTAAAAGGAAGTCTTAATGCTAACTGTGGATCATAATTTCATGATTATTTAACTGCTATCATAACCAACAAAGGCCTCATTGTGCGTTTAATAAAATTTATCATGATACAAACTTTGGAATGTGAACACAACAGCCTTCTATCTACAGATTCGAAACTCAACACACACCCTTTTGTTTAGGGCTGAGGCTTCCTACCACACTTCCCACTGGCTTCTTGGAGTGCAGTCCCATCACTTATGGGGCATTAACCCTCACTGAAAACATCAAACTCCTCTCCATGTCTCCACTGGGGGCATACAAAGAGGCAAAATTACATCCTGTGTCCCACACTGAGCTGGCATTTGACATGTCTGATGACCAGGTCCTGGCGGTTCATGCAGACCACTACTCCTGTGATCAGTAGAAACACTGGAGTGACCCACATCTCCATGTCCTGCTCTATAAGGAAAAAAAGATGGGCCTCGAACCTTTGAGACTGGGCTTCAGGGTTAGAAGTCAGGGATTACCCTTTGGAAACTAATATGGTGGGTCTTCCTGCTCCCATCTAGGGCTCCCCAGGCATATAGGCCTAGGTCAGTACTGCATTGGATTTTGCCAGGGTCATGGATACAATGCCAACAGAGAGCAGTTTCACCATAACAGGTATCCCCCATGGGTTCTCAATGGGAACTGACCTCTTTGATGATCAGGTATGAGGGTGTCACCCGTCAATGGCCCACTAGGACAAAATACTTGAATGTTTGGTTTCCCATAATTTCTCCAGTGGTTATTGACAATGAGGACTGCTTGTGACAGTCGTACATCCCATTTGTGGCATGAAACATCAATTAGGCCATTAGAAAGCTCAACTATACCGTTGGCTTGAGGATAATATTGTGTATGAAATATCTGTTTTATACCCTCTCCTTGTACCCAATCTTGCACTACCATGGCCATAGTATTTGAACCATTATCACTCTGGATACTTTGAGGCATGGGCAAAACACTGAACCAGTCTCACAAAGCCTTGGGTCATCTGACCTCCATTAGTGGCACTGACAGATGTAGCCATAGACAATCCCAATACTACTTTAGAAAGATACACTTTTTTCGATTGGATGGGTTCAAGGGCCTGATGCAATTGGTCTGCCAGGCATTCCAGAGAGTCCTATCTTGTTTAACATGCTGGGCACAGGCTTGGTTCAGGTAGTTGGTCTTAATTCTCACTCGACACTGTGGGCAAGCTGTGAGGATTGCTTCACGGGTTTTCATTGGCACTAATCAGCCTCAGGATCAACATTCCTCATAGAGGTCTGCCTTGCCTGAGTGGCCTTGCTTGATATGCAACCATTCACCTAAGTGATCCCAGTTTCCCTTTTCACTGGTCGTTACACTGATCCAGGCTAAGTGATCTGCTTGTTGGTTCCCCTTTGCAGCAGGGGTTTTTAACCTGTGTATGGTCTTTCACCCATCCCACCTTCAAAGGCTGGGATCTTCCTGTCGCCCGGAGATGCTGCACAGGAGTTGATGTAAATGGCATGAGCACCACTTTCTGTGGCCAACAGAACTCACAGATCTACCTTCACCCTTTTCCTCAACTGCCCTCCTGCTGCCACTTTCTAATGCTACTGCTTTATATTGCCACCTTAATCCCACTCAAAGAGCAGATGCATTGGTAAACCACATTCCCTCTGAGTGTGAGCCTGCCACAAACTCAGGTGCTTTTTTAACAGGAGAAGGCTTACATGGCTGACCTAGGAAACCTGGGTTTAGATCTATGGGTTTCTGCAATTTGGAGACTTTGAGCAGACGCTCTCTTAAAAAAAGTAATTGGACTAATTCCTTGTAAGTATGCATACCATTTCTGAACTGCAGCTTTTGGAGCTACTCCCTCAGGAGGAGGCGATCCATTAAGAATTGAATTCAGAAGGGGAAAAGGACCCTGTACTGTAAAATCTTTTGATGTGCAGTTTCTCGGCTTCCTTATTCACTCTGGTGAGGGAAAGGTCTCCCTTTTCCCAATCCAAATACCGGTTTGGTTTCTTTCAAAGATGCAAAGAAAACAGTAGAGGCCTAGCTGGTCCTCATGGTCCCTTCTGGAAAATGCCACAATATCAAGCACAGATAACAAATCTCCACTCTACTTTTACACAGGTCTTGTAGGTGCAGTAGGCCCAGACTCTGGTAAGCTTTGAGTTCATCCTTCAGAGTATTAAGGGCATCCAGGAATTGTGGATTCTAGTTCTATCCCTTATTTTTCTGAAGCAAGTTGTACAGTGGGTGGACAAGTACCCAAAAGCTGGGTATAAATGCTTTTCCTAATAACCTAATTTGCTCAACAACTGTTTCAATTCTGTTGTGTTGCCTGGGGATTGCCCCTCCTCAGCACCTCATAGAAGCATCCTTAGGTACTGCAACAGCTCCTCCTACCCCCAAGCCCCATAGAATTTAGCCTCTTGCCAAGGACTGGGGCATTTGGGGGGTGGAACGTTCTGCCCATTTTTATTCAGTAGGTTCCAAATGGCTCCAGCCACTTGCCCCCCTCTTGTTCTTTATTCCCTCCATCAACACACCACGTCGCTCCAGACTGCGGCAATCGGGGGCAGCCTGCAAAAGCCTCACAGGTGGCTTCTGCCTCCCTGCACCCGCACTCCTGCACCCTGCCACGGGGTAGATCCACCGCTGGCCTGCGGTACATCACATCCCGATGGGTTTTCCTTGTGCGGGTGGGCACTGCTTCAGCGGGCTCCATCCTCTCCCCAGCAGCGGGGGCTGAGCTCGAGCCAAGGGCAGTTTTTCTGCTCCACCAGTTACCCCACGATGTTCACGGCTCTCCTTGTCACGGTCTAACTCCCTCCTCCT